AAGTAAGCATTCTTTTTGTTTGTTAAGTAGACATTTTTTCCACATCAAAAATTTTGACACGAAGTTTTAGGGTCAAATAGTACTCTACGAGATCTTCAAAATGAGGTAGGTATTGCAATACACCCCCAGACAGCCCACCAAATCCCAGAGATATCCACAGAATATCTTTTGTGGATATCCTCAGGATATCAGAAATATTCCGTGGATCTAATATGGATATTCAGCAAAATATCAAATGGGTATCTTCCAGAAAATACAAGATATCCCAGAGATATCCACAGAATAATTTTGTGAATATTCAATATATCCAATATGGATATCCAACCAAATGTCCGTCTATATCCCAGGATATAGAAGATATTCGGATATTTAGCAAAATATTTTATGAGTATCTTTAGTAGAGGTTCATAAGTAACCAATGATTATTGAATAACGTCGAAAGAAAATAGCAGAGATAAAAAATATTTTCAACACTCAAAATATTTTCAACACTGCCTTTGATTTTGCCCACTAAGGAGAAAGTCATCCTTATTAGGACTCTTTAGCAATAAATGAAAATTCTCGACTCCAGTCTCTAATGGAGTGAATATGACACATATTTCGATCGAACTCAATTACGGCGGGTCGAGCATGAGTAGATGCGATAGTGGTATCGCCATGTATACTTAGTAAGCAGAATCAAATAACATCTAGTGGATATCCACGATGGTTTGCGTTTGCGCCTAGACTTTGATATATTTACTGGATGTTCATGGGATATTGAATACACCTTAAAAAAATTAATTTTAAATATCTGAACGGTACTATTAGCCACAATGGCGTAATTTTTAAATAATTTGCTATATAATTACTATTATTTATGGACATTTGCATGTCTATAAATTACATTTCATGGATATAAAATAGATATCTACCATGGACTGGACATTCAGTGGATATTGGGATGTTCAGTAGATATCCAAAGGATTTGGTGTACTGTCTGGGCCCCTATATTCAAAAAGAGAGGGTTGTGCTTCCCCTGTTAGAGGGTTGAAGTTACATGGATGAAAAAACCAAACAAGTTGTTCCCCCTCGAATTAAAAATCGATGGGTTCAAGCTTTTCTCCCGATTTTCGTTTTAAAGCCGGAAAATATGGGTGTAGTTTTTGTTGGCCCACCCTGTATATATAAATGTTTTAATTGATTTGTTCTACATTGTATATGTTTATTTTTGAAAATTGTTTTTTATTAACGTTTTTGTTTTACTTGAGTTTCTGTAATAGATGCATAATGATTTGTGAATGTTTTCCTTATGGGATAGGTACATATTGAAATTTTGATACGCATTATATACACAGGGTGTTACTTAATGATATACCATAATTTAAAGGGCACATTTCTGAAACAAATTCGAGTATAAAAGTTCATATAAACATGTGTCCTAAAAAGTCTGGTTTTTTATTAATATTTGGTTAGTGCTAAATTCGCATTTTATTAAAATGAACAACACTGCCAAATTAATATAAGTACTATGACAAAGATAAGGTCTTATATTAATTACTACACTAACAAATGATGGAATTTGAGTAGACTTTATAATTTGTAAAATAAGTTGATGCATTTCAGATATTCCGTTAGTTTAGAAAATCTGTGAGACATGTTTCACTTAGAAGTTCGGATAAATTAGGTATGATTTTAAAACGTTCACGTTTTCGCCTGTATTACATTCACGTTTTCGCCTGTAATACATTCGGTTAAAATATGTCGCATTTTAACAGTTTTTAAATAAATGAACTAACATTCACAAATCGATGAAACAAAAAGAAAAACCAATTACTATAGAACTGTTCAGTGCGGTTGAAGCCTTCAATTTGCCATTTGTAATTTTCGAAGCACTTTATCGATATTTTTGTATGCGTTAATCTCGTTCAAAAAGAAAATTCGCATGAATCAGTGCTGCTTTAAAAGCGAATGTTCTCACTGATGCAAAGAGATCATACGTATCTCTAAATGTTTACCTATTTGGCAGTAAATAATTTTCTAATTTGAGGTATATCATCAGAAATTCCACAACTTGTAGAAGGTATATAACTGCTAGACATTCTATATCTTAACTGTGTTGAGTAATGAGTGTTCTTGTTCAACTTCCTTATAAAGTCGCAGCTTTTTTTGAAGACAGCTTTTATCCACACTCATATATATTACCTTAATTTATATAATAGTTATCAGTTAAAAATCAATTCATAATGAGCAAAAGATTGTTTATGTGAGAGGCTTGGTCCCATGTAAAGTCATCGGCTAAAGCCGGTACGGTAGGACTACTGTGTTTACCTTAAGAAACTTCTTGTCCAAGAAATAAAACGCTGATGAAACATATACTTCGGTTTAATCACTTATTGATGAGAGCTATTTATACATTTATTACATATTATGTACATTGAACGTAAAGAAGACGATATGAATTTACCGACCCCCGAGATGTCGGTGGGTACGGCTTGAGAGATAATGAACTACATGCTGCAGGTTGGACGAATGGAACAACAACGATATTCGCCTATGGGAACCATCTTATTGCCAGTTAGAGGAGCGACTCGAAGAAACGATGTGGATGCTTTGGAAACAAAATAACGACTCATTGGATTTTGTGTATAAAGAGGTGTTGGTCACAGCTACCCCATCTCAATCCATAATGGACCCGTCTAGTTGGCGAGGATGACATCATTAGGTAAAGCTTTTTATTACGAAATATTTTTAACTCTATTGGGTAAAATTAATATTTTTGTTACTTATAAGATGGCGATATGTATATTAAAATGTTTCCGGGGTGTTTGCAGGAAATATATTTTTTTTCAATTGTGAAGCGAGAGAACAGTTGTTAGTCAAGAGATGGAAGAAGTATGTTGTTTGAATGTGTGTGCTTTAAAAGCAAGTGTTTCTTTTATTCTCGACATTCGTTTTAAAAGCGTGTACGTTTTCAAAACGGGTATTTTACAGCGAGCGGAATTTTCACACGTTTTGATAAAACGTGCATGTTTTCAAGGATTTAGTCAATGCCACTTACATGTCACTTTCAGGGTCGGTCTTTTCACCTTCAGATAAAGTGTCAGGTAATTGTTATCTTTCAGATTTCTTAAAAAGTCATCTTTTCACCACTAGATAAAACTAACCCTAAGATAAATTGGTCTAATCTGAAAGATAACTTATCTTACCTCTGAACTTCCTGATATAAATATTGATTTATTTTAACAAATTCTAGGTAAACCACTTTTTGTTAATACCTACAAAAGTATCTAATTTCTTATAAATATGGTTTGCAGTACTAAAAAGTCTAATAGCTGAGAATTTCTTTCAATTATAATTATTTGTACATTTAGAAAACTTGGAAGATAAGAATCCTCAAAGATTCAGACATGCAGAGGCAGAATCCATTTTTTGAATTTAATTGATATTGAATGAATAATTTTTTATATCTTACGGTGTACGAATTTAATTATTAATTCATGTATGTTTTATTTACAGATATGAATTTACTTGCGGTTTCTTGCAAGTGGTAGTTCAAAGCTCTTCGTATCACACACGTTGTGTCCAGAAATTTTAACAATTTTATAAAATTGCCACAAAATATTAAAGAACTGAAGGAGATAAGCAAAGTTATTATTATAAAAACTAGGTTTTTTATGTCGTACAATTTTCCTCGAATTATAGGTTGCATTGACTGCACCCGTATAGCTATTTTTCCGCCAAAAACTTAACGATTCAGTTTATCCTGAACATTGATATATTATGTAATTAGAAATAATCCTTATTTAATAAATTTACCATTGGTTTGTTGTAATTAAATTACATAATCCTTATTTTTTTATGGACTGCACATTACTTGAATTCAACGATATAGACAGTTTACAGTAATGCCACATATTATTTGCTTGTTAAAAACGTACACGTTTTAAAAAACGAATGCTCATAGAACGCCAGTCAAGAATATAGATTTCAGAAACTACCCGCTTTTCAACCACTTACTTTTGAAAACGGCGTTTTTTAGCGATCTGTTCTCAGCTTTTTTTTAAATGATTTAGGAAGACACGTAGGAATTTAATCAAACTAACTAAGGACAGCATAAAGCTCCGCGTAGTATATACTTGTAGAAGAGAGCATTTTGAACACATATTTATTTTTGGAGGTGATAAAAGCCACCACTTACTCCCTCACCTGATTTAGATGCATCAAGGTAAATATGGGTAAAATCATAAAATGTGATTTTAAAATTTCGTTGAACTTGCGGTTGGTGTTTGATTTATCAAAGGATATTAGTACTGTGTTAAATTTATGGATATTTATTAGCCATGGTGGTGAATATTTAAGGGTGGCTGTACATACTTTAGAAAAATGTTTTATGTTTATACATTTGGTAAAATTAAAGGCTATAAATGATAACAAAAGCTGTCAATAGATTAACAGCAAAAAAACACGGCTTGCTAGATGTACAAAATAGGACTTATTTGATTTTGCAGTAAATGTTAACTACGCATATACAATAATAACTATATAGTCAGCACTAATGAGATGACATTCATAAGCGTTATCAGCATGCAACGCGTTATTTTCCAATTAATTGTTATTATATTATCTTCAAAATCATTTTTATAATTTTGAAAAACTTTTGTACTAAACTTTCTAATAGTATTTGGCAACTATGTTGGATGACAATGTGAATGTTTGCAATTCGCCTTTTGCAAACAAAATTAGTCCTGTAGTTATTTATCGTTGGATAGTTATAACACGTTTTGCGATAGTGAACAAAACCAATAAATTATATGATCATCGTATATGCCATTGTTTTTCTGTAGTTGAGCTTGTCCAGCCAAAAGATTGATTACGTGTCTGGTCTTAAAGTCAAGGAAGTCTACCATGTTTTGAAAAAGTTAAAATTAAGTCAATACATTCGCCGAAGAGTTTCAACTTCTATCGGTATCAATCAAGCATACCCACCAGGAAGATTTGTTGAAATAAATACCAAAATGAGAAATTAACAATTTATTTTACACCACTAGATGCCTACAGCAAATACTGTTAAACCTTAAAAACAAAGTTATGTATCATAAATAAACTATTAACTAAATAATGCTCTGCATTAAATTTAACGATTAAAAAAAAAGGTATAACATAACAACCAAAAACCAAAATTTTCAACAGAAAACCGGTCTTAGTAGAACTCAAGGCAACGTCAAAGGTCTGAAATATTGTCTACAATAAAGAGCTGACAAACTGATCGGTTTGTCTTGTGGATAAAGCTTGTTTTGTCTTTCGGTTGCCCTGGAATACGCCGCCGCGTATTCTTTATCGAACGTATTAATGTCTATTTGGGCTCTGCCCAATACTCTGCAAGCTAAGAACAAAATGTCTCTGTAAATAGAGTTGCACTTATTATTTACTTCGTCCTTCCTGTCTTTAGCCAACGTCCTCACAGGCTCTGCCAAGTCGCTTACACGTATAAAGTTTATGATCTGCTGCATGAACCTAAAAAAGAATGTAACGCAATACAGTCAATAAAACCAAAATTCACTTAAAACAGAAAGTATAGAGTAATCCGAGAGGTGAAATATTGGTAATAAAATCGGTACAAATCACCACGGAAATCCCGAAATCGTCACCGAAATATACACGCAGCAGGCAGTGGATCAAAAAAACAAGTGAAGAGCAAAAATAAGGGTTTTTTTTAATATTTCTCAAGAAAATGTATATTTTCTCCGGAGAAAACTTGGAAATGGTACAATAATATTGATCATTCATTGGAAATTATACAGGGTGTGCCATAAAGTTGGATCCATATGGAATTTTTTTTAAATATAACAATTGAAAAAAACGTCATAGGACAATCACATCTGCTTATTTAAAAACTTAAAATAGCTCATATCAAAGTTGGCTACTGGCACTGGCATTAGTTATTTGTCAAATTTGCATTTTTTTTTGTTTTTTTTTTTTTTGAAAAATCGTTCTAAATTTTATGTACCTAATATGTAAAAACGTATTGATTTTAAACAACATATTTCGACTATTTTACATTCATTGAAAAAGATTAAAAGGGACGAGGAAGATAACAATTTTATACTAATTTTTGTAAATAATGTTCGACGGTATGGTTATTTTTTACGAATATTAAAATTATGCAAAGCAAATGGAGTTTTCTGGATGATTTTGCAATTTCCAAGAAAATATATTATAATTTAAATATTTTTTTTTTTATTAAAATACGATTCATTAAAATCAAAAATTGTTGTAGGTAATCCAAAATTTAATCGACTTAATTTCATTTGCTTTTGCATAATTATAATATTCGTAACCACACATTATTACCAAAAATTGGTATGAAATTGTTGTCTCGTCCCTTTTAAGCTTTTATAATGAATTCAAAATTTTCTTAAAGTCGGAATATCTCGTTCAAAATTGGTATATTGACTTAAAAGTTCTTTGTATACGCACTTTTAAGTTTTTAAATAAAAAGAGGTGATTGGCCTTAGACATTGTTTTCCAATCGCAATATTAAAAAGATTCCACATGGATCCCATTTTATGGAACATACCATATATGATGATTTTGGGGAAATCGCCAAAATCGTAAAAGTGTATGGAAGATTTCGGTGTACAATTACGGTCATCATATATAACTTTCAATTAATGATGGGGCTCATCACTTGTTTTTTATTTGGCCTTTTTTTGTTCTTCACGTCTTTGATTCAACACTACCTGCTGCATTTATATTTCGGACCAAATTATTTATATTTCAATGAGATTTCAAGTGAAAACCTACCAGTATTTCAAGAGTAGTTCACCCCTCGGAATAAACTATAACAGAATGGGAAAAACCATGCTAAACATTTTCTAAATCAGTTCGAATAACACAATGTTCATTGGTTCAATATTCTTCTTTTCTGATAAATGTGAATAACATAAGCAGGAAACTTCCGGTAAGGATTCGCCAATAAAGGAATTTAGGAAATGGGGATTTTGTTCTGGGTCCATAATGTTTGTGAGCGAGCCAACTTACGTTTTTGTAATAAGACTTTTTCCGTTCGAATTAAATTGTGACGTATCCCTCGTTTTCCACAATATGTACATCGGAGGACCCTCTGTATGAAGACCCGGTTCGTCCCAGTGGCATCTTAAGCGGACCTGCGCTGCCATTTGAGCTAAATACAGAATAAGTCTTAAAACTGGAGACGCGTCACATAAAAATATACTCAACCGCAAAATTTACCGGAATTTTTTTTTTATTTTTTAAACAAAGATGATTTTTGATAAAATAGAGTAAGTTTTAGTTTATTTTGTAAAAAATGTTTATAATTAATTAAACATTATTAATTGAAATTATTTTGATTTAAATTTTTATTATCGATATTTTTCTGAAAAACTTCGTGTCCGCTTAATTTTGGGATCGAGTATAGTTTAATTGAAAGTCATGTTAGTTTCAATTTCTAGAATTAAATACTGTACAACAAAATAATTAAATTTTTAAGAAATTGAGAGTTTTGTTTGTCTTGCAGCAACTTAAGACTACATAATTTACAATAAAATTGTCAATCGGACATCTCACAATTTTAGACATCCAATCCAATACATTGTACCTGTACATATCAAGTAACAAGAGTGTATAATGTTTAAAAATGATGAATGGCACCAATTTTAGAATTACAACTTTCAAAATTGGTCAATTTTCTCTTTTTCTATCTTCGTTCTAAGCTTGATTATTAACCAAACTCATATCTAAAGCACCAGTATTAGGCATTAAAAGGTCCTGCCAAACCAGTCAAATACGGCCGTTATCGGTAGACATACAGTTTGTTTACATTATTATGGAATTAGTTCTTTACATTAAAATATAGAAAATATTCTTTAGTGTGTGATTTTGATATCAGTTTTTCCCACGAGTGTTACGTGTTAACTACAGCTACTTCTTTAATTTGCAATTAGAGTACTAGAAGCAGCGAGGCTAAAAAAGGTGTAATAAAAACTAAATACATTGGATTAGACTGATTGTTGAGTATTTCCAACATGCCAATGGTTGTAAATTGTGGCAGAAGAGGCGATAGAGTCTTGACTCTTTTTTTTTACTGTTCCAACGAAATTTCTACAGGCAACCCATTTAAAATATGTATCAGCTGAAATAAGACAACGATGTACGTACTTAAACTAGATAATTTGAAAGATAGCAAAATCAAATATAAAAGCATTTTTTTTAATATGTAAAGTGAAGTAAAATAATGGTGTTGCCTTATGGGTAAGCAAGTTTATCGTCTGAATTGATGTAGAGCGAATTATAGGAACAAATAAATTAAAATTCATAATTTTTAAAGGACATATACCAATTATATGTCAATTAATGACGTAAAAATAAAAATATTTGTAAACGAAAATAAAATAGATTACATCAGTGCAGACAAGCACTACTCACCCTGAACAGACCACGAATTTACTCAGGGTTAGTACTAGAATATCAGGAAGCTTTGACCGAAGTATCCATCAACAATGTGGTGGTTACTGGCAAAGAAGGCAGCCAACCAAATGCCTTTTGGACCTGGCCCTTCTATTAGCCTGCCAAAATCGGTAGTGACAGACCTAATTAAAGAACATTCCCTTATGAAATTCAAGGAAAGATGGGATGAAACAAGAAAATGCAGTGTTGCCAGGGAACTTTTAAGTTATTCTGACAACACTACAGCAAACGAATACTTGACTATGACAAGACAGAATCTGCGCCTGGTCACAGGCATTTTGACTGGCCATTGCCAAGCACGGAAGCATCTCTATATCATGGGGCTGTCAGAATCCGCACTCTTCAGGGGGTGCGAACAAGAAGATGAGACCATCGAGCATATCCTCTACGATTGCCCGAAGCTTTATTTATTAGACGAGTTGTGTTCGGCGAGTATCAGCTAACACCGGCCACTATAAGAGAAGCACCTTTTGGCGACGTTGTCAACTACATTAAATCTGTAGGCTGGCTCACGAGCTAGGAGGTGCCTATTATCTTAGGATGCACAATGGGCCTAGTGAGGCCTAAGTGCCGTGAGGTAACCCACCTCCCTCACGTTACAGATACAGAGTCTAAATCTGCGACACAAAAATGTTTTATTAGAAAAAAAAATGGAGGCTACTGGTTTCATTTCAGGAGTCATCGTTAGGCCTAAAAGGAAGAGTAAAATTATGATATACTGCCCTGCTAATAAGTCAAGAAGTTGTATTTCCAAAAATTCAGATTTCGAGATTTTTACTCATTTGGTAATTTTACATTTTATTTTAGTGACCAATAACAGAATAAGTGACGTTTAAAATTGTTTTAATTCTATAGGTTTTTAGAAAGGCTCGGCACCCCTTTAACACTCTACCTTTTTTAGACAATGAAATTAAGTTAAAAACAGGACGCTACTGAAATCCTACATGTTTTAAATACTAAGAGACAAAAAAAGATCTTAATATTTATTTGTAAAAGACTTAATTACTGAGTTATGGGCCCCAGAAGGAAGATCATAGTGAAAAATACAATGAAATGTTTGTAGTGATCTTAAACCACTGAATATTTGTTCGCGATTTTTTACTATTTTACAAACTTCATAGATAATCGATAATTTAAGGGAATAGTTGTAAATGAAGCACTATGTTATGTTATGTTGATAATGGGGTGTTAATACACTGCGACCTAAAAGATCTATTGTGCCCCCTTCTGTTGCCACTGCACTAAGGAAATGTCTCAATGCCTATAGCGACCCTTCCAATCCTATTTTCTCAAGGAAGTGTAGGATTTGAAGTGGCTTCAAGTTAGGTAAGTCTCCCTCTTCTATTTGATATCCTCCTAGATATAGTGCCCTTGGATTCTGGAATGCTACACATTCAGTTAGGATGTGAATGGAGGTTTCGTCCTCCTCCTCACAGAATCTGCACTCACTATCCTCTACTACTCTCAGTTTACTTAGGTGTCCTTTTAGTCGGCAGTGCCCGGTAAGGATCCCTGTTACAATACGTAGCCTGTTCTTGCTCAGGCAGATGCAGGCTTCCGATCTTTTTTGGTTATATTCACCCAGAAGTATCTTGGCCTGTCTCAGCCCCAGAGATTGTTCCAATTATCGGTTCTTCTACTACCCAATTCTTTTTTAATCTCTTCTAATATTATGTTACTGCTGATACCGCAGAACGGCTCAGGTCCTACAAAGGGTGTTTGAGCCCCTTTCCTTGCAAGACTATCTGCAATCTCGTTACCCTGTACCCCGTTATGTCCCGGGACCCAAGTGAGAGTAACTCTATTTTTCTCGCCTAGCTCATTCAATTGTTCTAGGCATCTCCATACCATTTTTGAGCTGATTACGTAAGAACTCAGCGCTTTGATGGCTGCTTGACTATCGGACATGATGATAATCTCTTGTCTATGATAGTTTCTCTCGATGTTAAACTGGATACACTTCTCGATGGCGTGAATTTCCGCCTGGAAGATGCTTGGGTATTTTCCCAAGCTTTCGGAGTGCTTGGTTCTCGGCCCATACACTCCTATTCCAGGTCCTTCTATGGTTTTGGAACCGTCCGTGTACCACTGAATAGCACGTCTTTCGGTTGCAAGCACGATGGATTCTTGGCTCCATTCTTTCTTGCAGCCTAGCTCTGTGGTTTTGAAGTTTTTCACAAAACTGTACTTCTTTTGCATTTCATCCTGGGGCATGTCCCAGGTATCTTTAGTCCTGAAGCAAGTAGACTTTCGTCTGATTACTCCGCTCCTGATCAATAAGTCAAGAAGTTGTATTTCCAAAAATTCAGATTTCGAGATTTTTACTCATTTGGTAATTTTACATTTTATTTTAGTGACCAATAACAGAATAAGTGATGTTTCAAATTGTTTTAATTCTATAGGTTTTTAGAAAGGCTCGGCACCCCTTTAACACTCTACCTTTTTTAGACAATGAAATTAAGTTAAAAACAGGACGCTACTGAAATCCTACATGTTTTAAATACTAAGAGACAAAAAAAGATCTTAATATTTATTTGTAAAAGACTTAATTACTGAGTTATGGGCCCCAGAAGGAAGATCATAGTGAAAAATACAATGAAATGTTTGTAGTGATCTTAAACCACTGAACATTTGTTCGCGATTTTTTACTATTTTACAAACTTCATAGATAATCGATAATTTAAGGGAATAGTTGTAAATGAAGCACTAAAATAGTAACAAAAATCGTGAGCAAATATTCAGTGGTTTAAGATCAATAGAAAAATTTCATTGTGGGTATTTTTCACTATGACCTTACTTCAGGGGCATATAACTCAGAAATTAGGGGTTTCACAAACAGTAAAATTCAAAACAGAACTTCATTGTCTAAAAAAGTAGGGGGAGTCAAAGGGGTGTATAACCCTTCTAAACATCTATAGACATAAAACAATATTTTAAAAGCCATTAACTCAATTTTATTGGTATACCAACATCCCGTGTACATTTTCATAAAAATATGTTAAGCCATTTTAGAATAAGAGCAAAAAATTGCTTCCAAAATTTCTACTTTTTTCATATAAGCAAGTTATCTTAAAACGACTCTAGAAACTGGTTAAATTTACTGTACATCTTTTTGTTACACCCTGTATGAAAATACTGTAGCTTCTTATATGGAAAGTTATCTTTCGCTTACTACTATCTAGAAGATTACAACATCGACTTGGTTGGTGTAGGTATTTTTCTGGTTTTATTTATTTTTATTTTTTTAAGTATTTTAAAATAATGTGCCTTCAGACCATTTATTTTCAACGGCGCGGCAATTTAAATGGGCAAAGGTATGCTGATATGTTATAAAATAGAATTTTGCATGCAATTAGAGAAATTGTATTAGAAGATGAAATCTTTAACCAGCTATGGTTTTAACAGAATGAATGTCCTGCCAACAACATGCTAGAGGTAGGTCAGTTCCTACAAGAAACCTTTGACAATAGGATAATTTGTAACAATGGCCTACTTGTTCTCCCGACCTAACGCCTCTTGATTTTTATTTGTGAGGGCACATCAAAAATTAAGTTTACTAGTTTGACCCTCCTGAAGATTATAATAATATAATAATAATATTCTTCCTAATTCACTCCCCTACAAGTGAATTTCAACCCCTGAAGTCGACTGAGCGACTTGTGTCGGGGAAGGCACGGCTATTATTATTATTATTTGCCGTGGCGCTCCGAGGCGACTTAAGGATGATTGATGGCGCCATTTGACTTACAGGTGAGGAAAACCCAGGAAACCTCACCCACCATCATCGAAACGATAACACATGGCGATTTACGAGTATATTCTGGATGTCATATCAACAGAAACTGAATTTTTGTTAATACGGCACACATCAAATCCTATGACGAACCATGCAATTTAATTAAAAATACACATGGTCTGGTGTAGGATTCGAAGCCACATAAAGCTTATAAATGAATATAAGCGCGTTAGACAGCTATGCCACCGACCCGATTGCATTGGAAGAAAGAGTAAGAAACACTATAGCAGCCATAAATCGAAATAGAAGAGCCACACAATTATAAAAATTGTAATCCCAATTGTTTGGAAAAAATGGAGGACACAATGAACAGTTCAATTTGTTTTACGATATCCTTTCAATTAACTTCATAAAATGAAAAGAAATTATCCAAAACGAGTTTAAATCTGTTGTTCAGTTGTTCATTTTTTACTAATTATAATGTAAATATATTTTTTAAAAATACAGATCCAGAATTTATTTTAAATTTTAAACTGATGACGATTTTTATTCTCAAAACGTCGTAAAATGATAATGTGACACATAAGTTATAAACGTCATATTATAAAAAAAGAGTTTAATCAGTAAGTCTTTTCAAATCTGTTGTTCATTTAATTGTTTATTAATTGTTAAAAAATACAGGTCCTGATCTTGCTTATTTTAAATTTTAAACTGACGATGATTTTTAGGCTCGAAACTTCGTTAAATAACATAACAAAAAACGAAACGTCGTGCTCAAAAACAAATCATGCCATATTGTAGGGAAAAAAACTACACTATAAAATGAAAAGGGAGAATTGCATTTAGGATATTTCTTAAAATTATACAAAAACTAGCAAATATTTTAAAGGTAGATCTATAGTTTCCGAGATGCCACTATATCGAGTTTAAATCTGGGATATCATCAAATTAAGCCGTATTTCACGAAAACAAAATGAAACTCAATGCTATTTAGTTGTTTGTGTGCCTACCGACCACGAATGAAATCAGTTCGATGATTTTATACGTAAAGCGCTTTTGCCGGATCGTAAGATTTTTTGGCAATTTACTTGTAGCAAAGCATCCAAAGAACATTCTAGTTAATGGGTTAACTTAAAAACAGAGTAATCTCAATTGTGGGATTATTTTATACTATAGCAGCATTTTTCAACGGAACGCGTTAACGAACACAGCTGTTTCAGCTAAATTAGTTCAAATATTGACGTTATAATGTTTAAAGCAGCTGGGCAAAACAAACATAAATACTTGTATTAAATAGAGTAAATAATACAGTCACACTAAACTTACTTTCCTTCTCCTTTGGGCCAGCTTAGAAGAAACAAACACCAAATTACATTTATATGTATTTAATTCATCATGGAAATAGTATTAAACTTACCCAATGCTGTGAGTTCTTGAGTCAAAGGATCCGTCCCTTCTTCAACGGGCTCCATATTACTGCCGCCGTTACCTAACTTATCACAGCTGTCAGCGTTCAACTTGTTATCGCTTCCTAAATTCTCAGAATCAACTTTATTCTTTAAGTACAAATTAGGTAGATGCGTTTGCACGTTTATCCTTTCAAACACCCAAACGAGATTCCAGTAGATTATCGGATGGTCGTCGACGAATTTCGAGTCCGACAAACTCAAATCTCCTTCTTGCGTTAAAATATTTTCTAATTCTTTTCTCAGAACGAGCGGGTTCAGGTAGGGTATGCTGAATGGGTTACAGGGTTCGATATCAGTGCCAGTTATGGTGACAGTTAAAAATGGAACAGTGGATTTGTTGCACACTTGGCAAATCGTGTTTAAATTTGAGTCTTCCGATGACCAATTCGCCATGATTTCTTCGTCGTAAAGAAGACAGGAACAGTTGTGGCATTGGGAGCAGGTGGTTAAAGTAATATCTAGTTCGCTATCTGAAATTTTTTCAAAAATATTGATAATAATCATCTTATTTATTTTCCAAATACAATTAATGAAAATTTTTCCTACTAGAGCTCAGAAAGATAAAATGTTCTTCTACAAAAGTATATATGATAAAGATTTATTGCATAAAAAAAATAATAAAATGAAAAAAAAAAAAACAATATGATAAGCATCAGTAGTAAAAAATGAAAAGTAATTTTTTGAGGATTGTGTACAACATATGTAGATTAACTAGAAATTGTTTATTAAATAATAGAACTATCAGTTTAGATTTAAAAGTGGAGATGCATTTTTTTTTTCAGGAAGTTACATAATCCAAATATTTGACATTTAAATGATTGTCTAAAAAATTCTGCTCTACGGTGGAATCAGTAAATCTTTAAATTGCAAATTTAGGTTATTTATGCCTGTTCTAAAAGTAATATTATCCACGGCCACTACTGGATGTAGTTCTTTCGAAACCACTTACAATAACAGAAAGAAAACATTCTCGCTCTTGAGATTGGAAGAAAATTCTGAAATACTTGTGTCTTATGTATTTTAAACGTATTTCATTCTAACTCGAGAGACATAATGTTCATTATGTAATAGCTACTGGCCAATGACTGTGAATACCACGCCCGCATTGTAGATAGTCATGAATTTCATGACTGACATTTCTATTTTGCAAACGCCGTCTATGATTCAATACGCCTTAGTGTATTAGTATTTAGTTTGAATTTGCCTGAATAAAGATAAGTGGCGATTGTTAAGTCGAACTTAAATTCAATAAATAAATAAATAAATAATGAATAAAAATGATGGGGTTAGGAGGGGTAAAAATATAAAAAAAATCCTAACTCAGAAACAAAAAACGATATCAACTTGAAATCTTCAAGAAACATCAAGCTCTATGGGGGGATGAGGCCTATTGATTCTAAAAAAAACTGATTAAAAGTGGGTGGTTAAAAGGGCATATAAAACTGTGAAGAGTATAATATAGAATGTCAATCATTATATATGTTGAATCTAGTTGTTATTTACCGTAGCGACTTACAAAGATTGATGGTGCCATTTGACTTACAAGTGAGGAAAACCAACACCCATCATCATCATCATCGAAACGGTAATGAACGGCGATTTATAATTTGGATGTCATATAAACAGAAATTAAATAATTGCTAATCATGCAAATTCATTAAAAATTCAGATGGTTTGGTCTAAGATTTGATGTCGAGTGTCGTTGAACCACTAAATGGCCTGTAAGTGAACACCGGCCGTCGACATAACTGCGCTACCGAGACAATATTCTCTATTTCCATGTTTAATATTTTATGCCGTGGATTAACCTCATACAATTTTAATGTTTTTGGATTTTATTTTTAAAAGTGGTAGTTAAACTTGAGTCATAGACGGCGTTTGCAAAATTGAACTGTTTGAGGGTTGTTTTAATATTTTAATTCAGATTACGGTTACCATCTTAGATCATAGTCAATAATGACACCTAAATTTATAGCTTCATTAACTAGAACTAAATCTTTATTATTAATTTTAATATTTAGGGAAAATTGTACTCGATTACGATTTGAGTTAGTGCCAAAAAGTATTAGATTATAATTTGTAGAATTGATCATTAAACAATGATTAGATGCTGCCTCAATAAAAATATCCAATTCTTGATTTAATAATCTATACGCAAAATGTTAAGTAATAAATCTAGTTTATAGTATCAAATGCTCTGCTAGTTAAATCATAGTGCAACTGTGTCCTTTTCTGAAGACAACAAAAAGACACCTGTCAAGTGTTGATTTGTAGTTCAATAGCTCGTTCCAAAATGTTATGACAGCATAGGTAAAATACTTATATACCTCAGATCTTTAACTCAGTAGGGTTCTATTTTTTAGACAAAAATGTCACTATAGCTTTTTCCAAATACAAGGAAAATGCTATTCAGCAAATAAAAGTTTATAATGTGCCTAACGTATGGTACTATAAAAGGACAGCATAACTTAATTAGTCTAGCATTCAACCCATCATATCCCATTACATTTGATTTTATTTTGCATATTATTAAAAACAAAAAAAAGTAAATATGGTCAACGAGGAATAATAGTGAAAGTTAAGTAATAAGTAAAATTATTTAGTACAGAAATGCCGCTATAATAATTTGATAAAAATTGTTTATGCAGGTACGTATTTTTTTAACATGGACACTATATCTTATAATGAGTTGAGACAAGGTATAGTAGGAACATGCACATATTAATTGTTAATATAATGATTCTTATATGGAATTTGATAATATTACTCCTGAACTGACAAATTATGCAAATAATTTAAATAAAAACTTGCCTAACATAAGTTAGATTAAATATTTAATTTTGTTCAATGTTTAATTTTACTATATTCAACTCCTACTGTGTGATGTCGAGTGTCGTTGAACTACTAAATGGCCTGTAATTAAGCATTAAGTATTAAGTAGAGACCACTGCCGATCGTAACAAATAAATCTGTGTCTGATGTATGTAGTAACAAATAAATATGTGCCTGACGTATGTATTGGGACAAATAGAAGTCGAAGTCATATCGATGTGCATGTTCATATTAAACTTATATAAACTGACTAAGGTATACCCTCCATATCAGCATGAGTATCTGTAAATTGTAAAAGACCATTTTTTTAAAGACGTTTTAAAAAAATAGAGAAATAAAAGTGATGCTTTGCTTACCATTCTTATCTTCTTTAGGCGTCGGAAACAAGCTTTCCGGCAGATTTTCATCGTACTCTTTCAAATTGGTAAAACTTCCCTTGTAACTGCTCATTTCGGCTGAAATTTTTCTATGCCTATCACCGCCACAATCGCTTCCGTCGTTCGACTCGCATTCCGCGCATTCCGAAGCATCCCCGGCAGCCAATCTGTCACTCGCTACTTTGACAGGTGTCGAATTGGTTGACATGGCCTCCTTGATTTCCTCCATTTTTTTCACCATGGTAGTAGCGGCTGACTTAATCGAACTGAGACCACCTTGTATTAGTTCGTTGGATTTTTTACTAGTTAAACTACTTGGACTAGAAGAAACAAAAACACTTAAAATGATATGGCAGTCCATGATATTGCATGCAGTGTGTCTGTCCGTGTTCGTCTTTTGATATTTGTGCAAGTTACTTTTTAATTATACCTCAAAAACATGGAATTTTGTACCGTAGTTGTTTTAAAGCTCTTACGTAATCAGCTCAAAAATGCCTAGAGAAACTCAATGTGCTAGGCGAGGAAAATACAGTTACTCTCACTTGGGCTCCGGGGCAAAACGGGGTAAAAGGTAACGAAACTTTAGTGTCGCAAGGAAAGGAGCTTAAACACCCTTTGTGGAGCCTGGGCGTTTTTGCGGTATCAGTATTAACACAATAGGTTCTTTCGTTCGTCTCACTGGTGTAGTAATGAACTACACCAACGCACACCATACCTTTCGTTTGGCCCGGTGTAAAACCCACTATACCTTCCTGTCGGCGATGTGGTGTACACTAGTGGATATTTTCTCCACCAGCTATTAAGCAGGAGTGAATTACACTCGACATGTGTATAAGAAATAAGGAGGAAGTAAATTAAGGTAAATAAGGTGGTGTAACTGGTGTAATTTACACTGGTGGATACTACACCAACAGCGAACGAAAGAACCTAATATTAGGAGAGATTAAAAAAAATTGGGCAGTAGAAGAACCGATAATTAAAAGGATATCTTGGGACTAAAGTATAATTTATAACCACTGTAATGTAACTTAACGTAAGATAAAAATAAAGTCTATTTATAAATGTACGTAACGTAAAAGTTGAGCATGCGTGTTGTATATCAGAAATTATCAAATTATAGACAACCTTATGAAATAAACAAGTGTAAACTATGTACCTAACCTAAATAAAACCCATAAATTATGATTTTGGTATATAGAAAAAATATATATGATACTTATGGAGTTCCGTCTTACTTTTTAAAGAGGTGTGTCTGTACTGTTAGTACTCCTATTTCTATTATTTATAATATTTCACTTGATTCAGGAGTATTTCAGAGGAATATGTGTGCAGAATATTTGTCATGAGAATGTAAAGGGCTAATAATTGATCAACAACATGGTTTTTCACAAGGAAAATCTACAGTAACTGCCTTGTTAAGTCATCAAAATAAAATATTGAGTGCTTTTAAAGGGGGTATCAAGTACATTCTGTCGCTACTGACTTCTCAAAAGCATTCGATAGAGTTAACCATGATTTGTTGATCGCCAAGTTGAGCTCATATGGTATCAATGGTGAACTTTTAAATTGGCTATCTAGTTTTTTAATTGGTAGGTATCAGTGGGTCAAAATTGGGAATCACATTTCTTATTTGATTGAAGTATTGTCTGGTGTTCCTCAAGGATCCCATTGTGGTCCGCTTCTTTTTAATCTATTTGTAAATGACATTGCATGTTGTATAAAAAGTCTCAGTTCCTACTATTTGTAGATGATTTAAAAATCTTTAAAATTGTTGAAAGTATATCTGATTGTTTTGATTTACAGACTGATATTAACAACCTAGCATTGTGGTGTAATGTAAATTGTATGAATTTGAATTTAAGTAAATGTTGTTATATTAAGTTTAATAGGTGCCATACTAGTATAGACTATACTTATTGTATCAATTCATTAGATCTTGAATTGGTGACCCAAATAAAGGACCTTGGCGTAACGTTTGATGAAAAACTTACTTTTTCAGAACACATTACAATGATATCATTAAAAGCTAGAAAGTTGTTGGGTTATATACAAAGAATCTCTAATGGTCTCTCAATAAATTCTTTTAAAATTCTTTACTGCACTCTTGTTCGTTTTAATATGGAATATGCAGCTGTTGTCTTGAACCCTTATTATTGCATTCACATTAATAGACTTAAAACGGTTTAACATCAGTTTCTGAGATGCTCAGCATATAAATTAGGTGTGCGTATAAATAATTACGATTATGATTATGCTAACCTATGTTCCAGATTAGAGATCACAACTATGCAGAACCGGAGAACTCAATTAGATCTATGCTTCCTATTCAAACTTTTGTCTCCTGATATTTTATTAAAAATTGGTCTTAAAATTAATAGTGCAACCAGAGCTAATGAAACTTTTTTTATTAGACACCATAGACAAAATTACGGCTTTTATAGTCCATCAACATGATTGGTTAGGAGTGCTATCAGTATAGAAATAGACTTAGATTTTTTTGGTTCGTCATATCCTTCATTTAAAAGAAGTATTGCTAACCACTTTCTTAATGACACTTGAAAGTAGTTATTGTCTGCCTTGTTAATCAAATGTTTTAATCAAATGTTTTACATGATACAATTTTTGATGTTGTTTTTCATTTTGTATTTGTGCATATAACATATATTTTTTATTGTAAAATGGGGTTTTCCCGTAAATAAATAAATAAATACTTTAAAAGCAATAATATAAAAATATAATTAAACAGAATAGTAGTTTACTGAAGATGTTGATTGTTTTTGAACAATAATCAGAATTTAGTCTACCCTAGTAAAATAATTTTGTGTATGTAGAAATATTTTATCCCCAATAACATAAACACAGAACATTCCAAACGTAAACATTCATGATAATGTATGTCCATAAAAAAGGAGAATGATAATTTACAAATTGTATTTGTCCATTTATTAAAAACAAATAAAAACAAGAATACAGTTATCACATGCTGAACTCAGAATTATCTCATTGGGTAACTGTAAGGTCTTTAAGTTGTTAAGTTAAAAGTTGGCGAACTTTCTACGGTACGTTAAGTTCTTAAGTTACGTTACGAACATTTATAAAGTATACGTAAATTACTGAGGCCCTTCCTATGGGGCCTCAATATTGCATTCGTGCTGACGAAAAAATTTTCTTGCCCCCATTTTTTAAAGCTTTTTTTTATGTTTCCGATCATTCTGAGTCGGAAAATGCAAAAAAAAATTTCGTCTGGTCGTCTGTGTGTATGTATGCCGCCACAATAACTCTAGAAATGAAAGTTCTGATTGACTTGCGGTTTTGATTTTCTTGAATAATTACTTCTAACTTAGAATCCTATTGATTTTCAGAAATTTCGGTTCATCCTAACTACTTTAATATTAATTTTCTTAAAATCAGCTTATGCATTTCTTATGTGACAATTTTAGGAATTCCAATTATTTCTAACGTCAACATTCCTAATATTCTTTACATTCCATAAATTGCAAACATTCTCTAACGACCTGTCAAACAACAGCTGTTGATAGTAAAGGTGAAATTTCTAAGGCGGGTTGCGACCTTCATATTTGCAACCATAGCCATTTTGGAGGCTATTTTTTAACTGACTTCAAAAAAGGAGGAGATTATCAATTCGTCGCAATATTTTTTTTTTAATTTTTTTTTTATGTATGTTTAGCGATAATGCTTTACCACCTTGTCCAATTTAAATGATTCTTTTTTTGTTAGTAAGGGGATACCTCAGGGGTGGTCTCATATAAATTTGGTTAAGATGTGGTAATTGCATCTGCACGTTTTTGAAGTCGGTTTTTTTTAATTTTTAATTTCTAATACTTTTATTCAAAATTAGTCGCCAATCCTGCCAATTTATTAAAAATATATAAGCAGTTTCTTAAAAATTACTTTTTTATGGTGGTGCTAACTTAAGCGTACTACTATTTCTCCCCTAGTCACAAAAACACCTTCATAAAATTTACTGGCTCTCTGTCGCAACCCCATAGAATAATTAACTAATGCTTGGCTGTTCCTATCAAGTATCAAGATGTCAACTGTGATGTGTGAATGGCTCTTAAATGTCAAATTATTTAAAAATGTATGCTTCTTTTGATATTTATTGCAAATAATTTGTAGTGTATCTCAATTAAGGCTTTCCATAAATAAAGGTACAGCAAGACAGATAATATAATGTTCTTATACAAAGCACTTTTTTATTATATAAAAGAGAGGTAGGATATAATGCTGGTTTACATATTCAACCAGCGAATTGTAAATAATAATTAGTCATAAATTTCCTCAATTCATAAAATTTAAAAATTAATCTTCTTACCTTGGGATTTTAATGACGTAATGTGATCAACCCATTTCAAATTTTGATCAATTATGATACCGAGGTATTTTGTTGTTTTTCATTTTAATTATAAAGTTGTCATTTATTTGTATGTTGAAAGAAGGCCTTTGTAAATTACATTGCTCTCTATGGATCTACTTTAACACAAAAATAGTGTTGTGGCTATAAGTTGCTATAACCTATCGTAGCAAAACTATTAATAATTTAATCATAGTAAGTAGTAAAACGAGGGGTAAAATAACAATAAATTAAGGGAAATACTTAAAAAGGGCAGGTTTAAAGAGTATTATCACAAGAAAGTATATCCGTTCTGTTTATTTATCAAATATTGTTTGAGGTTACTTTTGAATACATTTATTGTTGTTTTTTTTTTAATGTCTGTAGGCAGTCTATTAAATTTTTTAAACCTTTAGTAAAAATTATATTTTGGAAACTTTAGTGATGGCTTGCCGTACATGAAAGTCAGATTGGCTTCTTGTATTATAGTTGTGATATTCCGAATTATATTGAATTTTTTCTAATAGATTTGATGCGATGGTACTGTCATTTTTATTTTATAAATAAATATCAGTCATGCACTGAACATAATTCTGAACTAAAAGCCAATTTATTTCTTTTAACATAGTTGCAATACTCATCCTTCTGTCCTTTATTAATAGAATATAAATAGGCGAAATAAGGAGCCCAAATATTTTACATGAGCAGGCTTAAGAGGTAAAGGGGCTAATTATTATTGGATAAATTGCTCGAACAAGTTTTTAAACCCTAATCAAAAGGCGATATAGAATGGTTTTAAAAATCAAGGCTTGTGAAAATCATCACATGGTTGAACCTAAGTAATGCCAATGCTTCACAAAACAAAAAATTCAACGTCCTAATACTACTATCGGCTTTCGGTCTTTCGTTCCAAGTTAAATCATTTCCCGTTTTTGTTACGCTACGAGTTTACCCTTGTGGGCCTCAGTCTCGATAAGGTGGGAACCACCATTTTAGCGTCTCTCCAATTCAATATTTCAATTTGTTACGTTAAGTTCTTAAGTTACGTAACGGCGGTTATAAATTAAGCTTAAGACAGGCTAAGATACTTTTGGGTGCATATAACCATAAAAGATCGACGACTGTATCATCTGTCCAATTTGGACCCACTGCAAAGATAGGATTAAAAGGCTCGAAAGTATATTTCCTTACTGCCTTAGCGATAGAAGAATAGGGCACAATATATATTTTAGGTAGCAGTGTATTAATACCCCATAATATGTAAGTTATTAATTATATCTCAAAAACTTAATTTTGTACAGTATTTGTTTTTACTATCCATAAAATACGATTCTGCCTTCCACTTGTATTGTAACCACTGCTTTCCTCAAAATGTTTATATAACATATTGTGACGATAGTTTAATTTATTTAGAGTTTATTTATTTATTACAATTTAACTTTTCTGTCCAAAACTTTATTCTCAACTAACTCGTCCGTCGACGAAATTGTGCTATTTATACAAAGCCCACTTTGTACGAGAAGTCTCTAGACGACGATGTAATGTCCTAGAATTCCATCTCTATGACTCAACGTCACGTACCGCTTGTTCTGGTATATTCGAGACGCGTCCGATTGTCTCTATATGCGCTGGTTCAGTGTGATGTCATTTTGGTTCCACTGACATTTAATTCTAACCAAATTTTTAACAAAAACATCAATACATTTGACATATACGTTTTTACTGTTTTTAGTTTATTTCTAAATATTGTTTACAGGTCATAAAAAATAGTTTAAAGGTATGTAATTGGTAACTAAACGATTGTATATTTGATGCATGTTATCTACTTACTTTAGGAATATATTTATAAAAGTAAAAAAAACGATATAATTTAGGTAAACAAAACGAACAAAACGCACTCAAAAAATCTACTGTCATTTTAATTGTCAGTGGAACCATAATTACATCATCACTGAACTAGCGCATTGCCAGCGCGCTGCTAGACTCCATACCGCGGGAGTAAACAAAGGACAGGGTAGGCTTTCGCGCGACAATATTTTTTCTAATTTTAACATATAAAGTGACATTTTTTGTAATTGCAGAAAGTGTCAAAATGATTTACTTTATAAAACCAGTTGCATAATGTTAAACATTATGAAACGAAAAATTAATTGTCACCAGCTGCGAAAAAAAAAACAAAACTAAATCTTTTTTTGGTTTTAAAATCAGTATATACATTGTTATTGAAAGTTTATATCAAAGAAGGAAAGGTTGACTATATAAAAATAGAATTAGGTTAAACTTACAACCTAGAAATAATGTTGTTTCGGGCCTTATTTTCCATTCTAAATCAGCACAAAATAATTAAAATATAATAAACGACAATATAACCCATTTTCTTGAAAACTATAAACTTTAACAAGCAATATAACAAGTCGTTGAGAATAAATTAATATGTTTTTCTGTTCATCAATAAAATGAATGAAGTTATGCAAAATTAGAAAAAATATTGTATGTAACACGTTACAAAATGCCGTTTCATGTAACTGGTTGCATAAATAGCTATTAGAGTAGAATGGGCGATTTTACAAAAATATGAAAGTCAAAAACATCTTTAGATCAAAATTCATAGTAAATAGGACAATAATCAGACTAAAAGGAATTAGATAAAGATGAAAGTATGGGAAAGGAAAGAACGTAGGATTGGCTATAGGGACATTTAAAACAGAAGAGAGAATATGGAGACGGAGAACACAGCAGGAGATAATAGATCAAAATTCATAGTAAATAGGACAATAATCAGACTAAAAAAAAGAGGTAAAAACAGAAGTATTGAAAAAGAAAGTACTTAGGACTGACTATAAGTAGAATCAAAACAGAAGGAAGAATATGGAGAATGTAACCAGGAGATAAAAGAATTCTATGGAAAATCAACACCATATTCCAGGGTGAGACGATTAGTGCTTGTAAGCCATATTGCAGAACAGAAATGTAATAAACGAATACTGACAGAAGGTGGAGGGAGGAATGTAAATTTAGGGCGACCATAAAATGATTGCCTATAAAGTATAAAGGAATACTCAAAAAATATAAGAGGACCAATAAGGAAATGTGACCAACACACTAACAAAATAAACAAATTGGATAAAGAGACTGGAGAAGGCAGGATAACAGGAAAAGTCATGAGCCATCATGGAATGCTCAGTTACATTTTTATTTTAACGTTAAGTGAATTTGGAAAACTGAAGAAACATAAATTGCACAAATAGCAAATAAGTAATGAGTAAATAGTGAAATCTAGTTTTAGGTTTGTTTACTAGCAACGTTAAGTACAATCGTTACAATACATTTTTATTTTATAGTCCAGTACTTTCAACTATAGATAGATAATACGTTTAAAAGATAACTTGTACGAGTAGTTTTATTTTGAGATAATGTACTAATAGACCCAACTATTTAATTAATATGAATAAAAAGTTCATTGGTTGCATCGGTCAACTTATGACCGATACAACCAAGGTTTTTTTGTTTATATAAAAAGAGAGACCATGATACAAGGGCAATAAATATGTCAGTAAGAGAAAGAGAACCTCGAGTGTATGACTGTTTTGCGACTTACGTCAAGTCACGCGGAATTGTACTTTCCATTTTGCCATATGTTCTTAAAAAGCAGTTGTAGAAAATGCTAGTGTCACATATTTGATTAAATAATTAAATCGACATTTCGCGACCCGGGTAAAATGAAAAAATACGTACTATTCCTTATATTTTTAAAAGATTTTATTTATCATAATACAACCCCTACCTTTAGACAATCCGCTAATCTTTCCACTATTTATTTTGATTAGAGTTCAAAAGAAAATTAAAGCGGAAAGCTATCGGAATGCCTGTAGGCATTATATTATGATAAATAAAATGTATTTAAAATAAATAAACATCGTCGTATTTATCATTTTACATTTTTTAAAAAAAAAAAAAAAGTTGCTTTTATCGGGAATTGATCCATTGAGCCATGAAGGCTTATGTCAAGTCAATTATGTAATAAAATATGCGATATTAGCATTTTCTACAACAGCTTTTTATAAGACATCGTCGTCGAGTACTCCGCTGCTGGTGCGTCTGCAGCAAAGTATTTTCATCATTTACAAGACAAGAATTAACAAAAAATTTGTAAATTTACCCTGTGTACCTAAAAAGTGTCAGTACCATTCATTTTTCATTTTGTTTATTTATTCTGTTTGTTTTTTGCAGTTACCTATTTGGATTGTTTATTGTTGAGCTTGAAGATTTTATTGTTTTATTGACTTTTATTAATTTCGTCGATTTGTTGATTTAAAAATATGATTAGTCCCTTTAAGTCTGTAACAACAACCAGTGTTTACATAAATAAACATACCAAAAACAATACCCTGTACCGAGTGTCTAAACAACAAAGGATTTCGGTGGTCGGCGTCATAGAATTTTGGGGAAAAATAAATAGAAAAATAAAGATGAATCGCTGGAAATTCTTTTCAAGTCCCTAAGTTCGACAGTAGATGGCGTAATGCTTATGACTAGTGATAAACAGAATAACGAGTAAGTAGTCAACATTTATTAAAATTTCACACATATTACGAATTTATTTTTGACATGACCTAATTTTTCATTTATTTGAAAAAATACTGTTTTTATCATTGACCATGAGTATTACGCCCCTAGCGGCAAAGTTGGGAAATAAAAAATTATTTCCAACTATTTTTAGGGACAACGTTTGTTAATAAAAATGATCTCCGATCTGTAGGATAAACGGTTCCTTATACCCGAACTATTTTCTTATTTGGACAAATAACAAAGATTTTGTATCTTGAATTCGCTTGGCATTCCTATAGCTTACGCTTAATTCTTAACTGATACGATAAAATCGTCGGTTAAATACATCTTAAGTACTTTTCTATTAGTTTTGAGTATTACGCATTTGAAAGTTTTAGCGCCCTATAATGAACACAACTCTGGACAATTGTTTTATGTATGATTTTTATTATATTTAGTTTATGTATATATAAACAGTTGGGATAAACTGTTAAAAAAATGTGGATATATTGTTGAAATAACTTTTAACGTTAGGATATTATTGTAGAAACAACTTTTGTTCCCCATATGGCTTCCTAAGACATTGGATAGTATTACACAAGCTATAATTAAATAGGACTTAGGATATTATGTTAATAACTAATTTTTCAAAAAAATAGGATGTTTTCTCAACCGACGAAATTACTATCCACTGATACCTATAAATAAATTATCTTGGGAATAAGAGGCTTTTAACTGGTTTTAATATATATGAAACTGACAATATGGTATTTTCTGTTATCTTCTAGATAAATTACTTTGTCTGTAATTGAAAATACTGGACCTTAAAGACATTTTAATCTATACAGTTATATATCGATGACCTAAAGTAATTTCTGTGAACAACATTAAAATTAGCAGTTTAATTGATGTGAAAGTACTTACCTCAAAGTGTTAATGGCATTCTCAATGAACTGCTGCGGCCCTTTCAAATCAGCTTTGCGCAGGGACAGGCGTGACGGTGAATAGCGGCTAAAATGAAACATCTACTACTCTAGGTATCTACTCGACGTGCAGCGCAAGCTTTTTACGCAATATGCCTACACACTTAAGGCTCGCAAATCCATGCTCGCTCATGTCAGTAAATATTTGATTGAGTATCAAGAATATCAAGTAAAATAACCAAAAACGATTAAATTTAATATTAATATCTTTACAATGTATCAATCAAAATTTACGAACTTTTTTACATTTTTAACGTTTTGTACGAAGAAGAAACCATATAACATTAATATGCATTGACTTGAGTTCATCAATTTTGGTTTGCTATGACATTATTTTAGGATTTCAGTGGTAAGTTGACAAAATAAAGGAAACAAGTTTTATTTAGAAATTGAACTACACACATTTTAATTAGAACATTCACATGTAGGTAGAAGACAGAAATATATACAGATTCAGTTAATTCGGATGCTCATTGAGGTATACCACTAAATATTTTATAAATTTTATTATTTATTGATTTCTATTTAATGCAGATTTCGAGCTAAAGCTCTCGGACTCCAATCACTCAAAATTTAGATCCAATAAAAATAGTAGACTATTTATTAAAGTCTGGTTATATTACCCTTGATTATGTTCATCTGTCAAATAATAAAATTTTATGAATTCAATCAATCGTTTTTGTTTTTTGATAAAACTGTGTTTACCTTTTGAACTGACAACTATAAACACAATCTAACAACATTTATTAAAATAAAATGTACTTCAAAATTATGTTAATATCCTAATTTCAAAATTATTGATATTGTTATTTCACACAATTAAAACCGGTAATATTTATATTATAAACTAATCTCTTTGCATGTTTATGTTAAATCACATAAAACACTCACTTACACTCAACTTTTGTAAATTAAACATCATTTCTGAATAGCTAAACAGTTCTAAATTAACTAAATTAAACCGATCTTATTCCATTTTATAGTTTCAAGACATGGAAATCAGAATAAAAATTTGGCGAATGTCAAACTCGTGAAAGGAAAGTAATCTACAGATGCCTGGACATTTCGTCTGTTACAGAATACGGTGTTGCCGTATTTATTATTTTTTTAGACTATAAAGGAAATTATATTGCAATAAAATAAATATTTATTTTAAAAAAAATACTTCCAAATATGTTTATTGTGTATTTTTCATGCCAAATGATTAAAAAAATAATATTTTCAAATACTTCTCGTCGTTTCAAATTGTATCTATTCAATTTTAAGTTTCCATACTCAAACGATTTTATTTCAGACATAAACACTTATACAAACCGCTTTAAGATGAAATCACTCGTTCTGCGGTTTGTTTTCGAGGTTTTTACGAATAAAAAACGTTTTCGTAAAAACTAAAAATTAAATCGATAAAATTCTGTATTACCCTTGAAAAAAAAGCATGAATTATTGTAGTATAATGTTAAAACCGTCTGTGTTTTTATAGAGTTTTGACATCGACGATGTAACTGAAACGTGTCCATATTCGTGATACATATTAGACTTGTTTATCTCAAATGCATTCAGCTATTATCAGTCATTTTTCACGATAAAATTCGTTTCAATTTTAAAAATATTTAAATTGCGTCGATATTAATGCAAACAAGCAATCTATTAACTGCTATTAATTAGTAACATACATTTCAGTTTTAATGTTATACCGAGATATATTAAAACTTTACTAGTAAGTAGTTAGAAATTTTCTCAGATTATAATCTTTAAATCCAGTAAAAAAGCAGGATCGTAAACAATCTACAGAAGAGATTAATGGTAATTTCGAAGAAATGAAAATTATTCTAAAAATGCCAATCAAACACAAAATTAAAAAAGTTCCTTAAAAAGAGTTCCTAATTCCTTATTTCAACTGTTTCTTTATCATCGATAACAAAACATTAAAAACATCGCCTATACAGCTCAAAACGTATAACAAACATTCCTCTTACCTGAAACCAAGTTTTAAACTAGATCCGAAGCTGGCTAAACTAGAAGCCACGGTGGCAGCGGGGACAGTCTCTGATCTATGGAGTTTACTTTGCGAGGGCGGACTACCCTCGAACGTGGCCGATCGTTGAACTGACGATCGAAAAAGGACGGGCTCGATAGTGAGATTGTTATTTTTGATCAGCGGTGAGTCTGTAAATTGGGACGGTTGAGGTGTACGAGGTGCGTTAGCGTCTTCCAGCGGAAGAGTAAATGCTCCTAAGGGATCGTTTTCAGTTATTATTTCACGGGAAACTCTGAAAATAATCAAACAAGTTCAAGTAATAACAATTACTTATCATTAACGCTCTTTTATACTAACTTTCCTGGAGAGCTGTTTCCGTTCTCCAACAATTCCTTTTCTTCAATGCTATTGTTGTTGAATTGCAGTGCTTTCGAACAGCTTTTTTTATTAACAATCTGATCTATTAAATTCGCATCAGCAGCACTTTCAGACCTGAATAAATTCATTATTATTAAATTTGATGAAAATTGAAAATAGAATTAGACAAGTTTATCACTTTTACTTCCACTAAACTGATTACCTGATGGAATAAAATTGAAAATATCCATTTCAAACAATGTTATTTATTTTCTATGTAATGATATATTATTTTATTTGGAAATTTCCAAATAATTTTTTTCTGCGATAACTATCGAAAGCAGGCTTTTTCGCCTCGAAGAGTAACTGCAAAGTTGATGTTTTCTGCAAGCTGTTATAATTTGACATTATTGGCGCTCTTAAGCAGAAAGTAACTCTGGAGCACGCCTAATTTTATTTATAGATAAAATAGAGCTAGTAGTTATTTTAACACTGACTAAAGCCTAAATAAATATTTTAATTGACTTCCTAATATTTTAAATCATCCAACAGTAATTTCCGTAAATAATGAAATGATTAAATCATAAAAAAAATTCCGACATATAAGTACTAAAACAATTTGTTCTCATCGAAGAGTAGGCTTATGTTAAATAAGCTTACAAAAGTATTATATTAAAACAAGGTAACACATTTCTAATAAAATAACGGCAGTTCGTAACGTGTTACATACAAGATTTTTTCTAATTTTGACTTGATTATAGATAAAATTGTGTTTGGTTAAAAAATGATTCATCATCATTCTTTTGTAGGTACTTCCAATCAAATATTTCAGAAAATTGTTATATTTAATTGCCCCACGACGTTTTTTTTAATAGTAATATTAAAAATAAGGGACATGTGCAGTGTTGCAAATTTTATTTTTGACATTATCCGCTGGAAATTTGAATAAAGAAACGTTTTTAACCGTTATCCTTAAAGGAGCACGTCAAAATTTTACCCTCGACATTTCTGGGCAGTTTTCAATAACAGTGTTCAATTATTTAAAAAATAAAACGCAATATGTAGCCTCATCAGTGAAGAATTTGATTGAAAAAATATGGGTCTCTTTAGTTTTTTCTAACATTGCCTGGCAAAACTGCATTCTGGTTGGTAAATCGTTAGGAAGTTCTTGAACTTTTCGAAAGTGAAAACCATGCAAAGATTGTTCACACAATACTCTAGTTATTGTAGATTGCGAATTAGGTACCTGACCTTAAGGCTATTTGTCTCGTGCTGACTGTTAGGTTTTGCTCAACAATACTTAAAATTTGTTCTTCGGCTTTTACTGTTCTGGCAGTTAATAGTCAATCTGTATTATTTTTTACTTCCAGTTTTCCTGTTACCCTAAATCGCCTTTCACCGTTAAAAAATGTCCTCAAATTTGGTACATTTCGAAGAGGAATTTTTTCTGCATATCTTCTGATTGCAGCATTAGCATTTCCCAGACATTCATTCAACGTAAGTAGCATGTCAGTATACTCGTCAAATGTGTACACGTCTTAACAAAAATAATACTAGTATGAATAACACTGTATTTACTTTTACTTGAACAAAATTGTGACATTCCATAGCTTACTTGATAGTTTATATTGAAATATTACATGACAAACTTTTAATGTTATTAATGTTATGAATAACATCTATCGTGCAGTTACATTTTAAAAGTCAAATTATTCAAAAACGTTAACTCTTTCTCGAATACCTTTTTTTGTGAAAAATTGTTTTTATTAAACAATTTTTCTGAAATGATAAAATTAAACAAATAGGAGTAAATTTTTTTTCTTTTTTTTACCATTAAATCAAATGATATAAAACTTTTAAGTTCTCAAAGAAATTTGGAGTTGGTAGTTTGCTCCGGTTGGAAGTTAGGACCGAAAAACTGGTTTTTCCATTCCCCTTTGAATTGCTTTATCTCCCTTAATTCAAAGTTTCGGACATTAGTTATTATCTCCTAAAATATTTGTATTCCTTTTTGACTCACCTTGTTTGTATAATTATAATTAGTATTAAACTTTGTCAATGTGTATTTATGCTCTCTTTGACAATAAAGTATATTATTATTATTAATACAAAAAATTTTTCTCTTTGGTCGACACCAGCCGCTATAATTAAAAATAAAATAAGTTTGACTTACCTAGATAACAGTCTATGTTCAGATGGACTATCGGGCGTTCCAACAAATTTTTTATCATTATCACATTCGTTCAATTTCTCATCTCCGTCATTTTCGTTAGCAACACTCTCGATATTCTCTTCTGCAATATCGTCATTTCCGTTATCAATTTCTAATCCGTCGACTTCTTCGAGACCGCTCAGACTACCCTTAATGATACTAGTGCCCCTTTTTAAAACGTGAGTATTCTCTTCACGTATCGCCTCGTGAGAATCTAATGACGATCGAGAAACTGCTCTATCGGTTTGGTCCAATAAGCTGGTACCTGCAAAACCGGAAGGAACATAAAAATATCATTTATTAGTCGGGGACTATAGAAATTGCTCTACCTCCTTCCGTCGAAGCTGACATATTATTGGCGTATTTCCTTCTTGCCGCCCATCTGAAATGAGCTGCACCCATTACTACGTTCCTTAACTTGTTCCATAATAACTGACTGGAACTTGAATGTGCCGGCCACTCTGCTTCCAAAACACAACGATTGTATAATCTAAGAGAGATATAAACAAAATGTCAGCAGTAAACTATATGAATTTGATAAATGAATATAAGTAAATGGAAATCAACTCTTCAAAACAATAAAAACTTGAATATTCCAGAAAATATTTTGTATCTCTTTTGAATATAAGGAAATAATCTATATTAAATTAAATTTCTCTCCTTCGACAATTTTTAACTTTTCGTGATTTAAGGGTATGGTCCGATATTAACCGACTACTAACCGCAAGTAACCAGGATTTTTGACAGCGGTTCCTGAAAACAACTAATTTCTTGGTTACTTTTGGACCACGGCCGAGATTTACGTCACTTTTGTGACAGATTGACATTCGACTTAATAGCAACCGTAAAAATATAGAGGTTAGTGAATTGACGTTTGAGTCACCATTTTCAGGTAACCGCGTCCCTAATTTAACCGATTTTTCAGAAATGTCAAGCAGAGCAGTTAGTTTTGAACCGAGTAACCGATATTTCGGTTAATAACGGACCATACCCTAAATAAATTTTTGTGCGCCAATCATTTGTCACCTTTAAGTAGGTTATTTGTTTATTTACAATGTTAGTTTTGTGGCGGGCTTTTGTATTTTTGATTTTTACCTGTTTTTAGATATTATTATCATTATAATAGTGTTTAAGGGGGGGTGGGTGGGTTGGCTCAGTGGTTAGAGTCATGACTTTGAGATCGGAAGGTCTCAGGATCGAATCCCACCGTTGGGCGGGATTTTTTCATTTAATTTAATTATTTAAAATTAATTCTGATGCCTTGGTAGGATTCCCCACTCGACCATTCGCTGTTGGGTTCTAATTAACAGTGCTGTTCCTAAAGTGGCGCTGGGAAACAGTAACAAAGCCTACACAGACCACGAGGCTAATGGCCGTAGTAGTCGACGCCGATGACACCAAATTAAAAAAAAAAAATAGTGTTTAAGTTTAGTTTCTGTGCTTTCGTTATAAATATAATACTTATTATGTGTTTAAGACTAAATTTGTTGGAAATGTTCACCTATCTGGATGCCTACACCAATAACATTTCCCAACTAACATTTTGTGACACTTAAGGTTTTATTAAAAGTCAACTGCTAACATTTTGTGACACTTAAGGTTTTATTAAGTCAACTGATATTTATAAGGGATTTTAAGTTTTATTGCAGTTTCTCTAGTTTATTAACAAAACCACAGATTACCCACAACAAGTGCGAAAGTTGACAATGAACATCAAAATAGATGGCCATACCAATTTAAAGGTCCTTCGTAGTAACTCGTTTCTATTTGAGCAGTTTCGGACGCACTTATTTACAATAATTGTTGTTGGTATACTTGTTACTGATACACAATGCTTTTGAGTTTACACAACTTTAAGAAAACAAAAAACACGCCACCTTTCATTGGCAAGGGGACGAATTGTCATATAAAATTCATACCCAGAAATCTAACCCTCTAGTGCTATGGTCAAGTAACACATCATTTGAAAGGAAATTTTATGGAGAATTCAGCAATATGACTATTCATTGGGTTGCTTTTGTGATTGAAGTTTGTATTCCTTAACGTTAGAGATCTGCACGATTTTTAAATGATTTAAGTTCATGTTTTATTAAATTATGTTTTGTTGCATTGTGCATTCAATTACTAATAAAACTAACTTTTAAAGGAAGTGAACTTACAATACGTAACGGTTTTTATCCCGATAGAGGGCGTTAAAATCTAAAGTAACGCAATGAACAGTCATATTGCTGAATTCTCCATAACATTACTTTTCAAATGATTTGTTACTTGACCATACTGGCTATTAAAAAAAAAAGAGGGGTGGCTGCCGGGCGCCAGGGGGCTAGATTTTTGGGAATGAATTTTACATAATAAATCATCTCCTAGCTAATAAAAGGTATTGCTTTTGTTTTTCTTAAATTTACGTAAAATTAAAAGTTATTTCGACTGACTGGTTTTGAAATGAATAAGACACAAACTTTACATTATTTTATAACTTATATTTGTTATAACTGTTTAGTTGTAATACAATTTTGAAAATATTAATACAAATCGTATGCCATTTCTTTTAAAACAACCAAATGTTTTTGTTTCATTAATGTTTGAAAATGAAATTTCTATCCACAACTTTTTAAACATTTTAAAACAACCAAATTTTTTTGTTTCATTAATGTTTGAAAATGAAATTTCTATCCACAACTTTTTAAACATCACAAGTGCTACACTACTTTACAATAAACCATTAATTACTTAAACCAACCCTGCCATCCAAAACGCATGTTTTTGAAGAAAGTCAGATTTAGTAAGAATAACTGAAAATAATTAAAATTGGCAATACCTATGCGATACCAATAAAGTTCAGGATCCTTTAATATTTTTCCGGGTTTCGCATCTGGGTAATCTGTGACAAACACTATGGGTGTTACAAGTTTTTGGAAGGCACCCAATAAATACCAAAATATTTTAAGTTTTATAATATTGCATCTGAAACGTTTCGGTTACTTCATCTATAAATCATTAGTGTTGATTACTCGAGTTTTATAAATCTAGATAGAATGATGTAGAGATGACATAAACACTATTTTGTGATATGACAAGTGGACTTTGAGTGATGGAAAAGTGTAATCAAAATGGCGACTTATTTTGATCAATTTGAAGTTAATAATTTTATAAAAAAGGAAATAATTTCAAACTCAAATGTGACCAAGATGTATTATACAACCGAAAAACTCTTAAAGTCATGCATCACAATAAGATAAAATATTTTCAACACTCTACCTTTAATTTTGCTTACTAAGGAGAAAGTCACTCTTGCTCTGGTTTCGTCCTTATTAGGACCCTTCAGCAAGAAATATAAAATATCTAATGGACTCTAACGACTATACAAAATTCACTCGAATGCAATACCAACGGGTTGAGCATGTGTAGATATTCAACGAGTGAAAATGGTATCGCCATATGCACCTTTTACAAATTTTCTGCTTAGTTTGAACCGTGGATAATATTTTATCTTGGCGATTAGAGGTGAGAACAACTAATACGAATTAGGTCATAAAACAACAAATTTTTTTTGCAATAGATGTAAACGAAAACTTACCATTCTTCCAAATTATCTTAACATAACAATATTTTTTAGCGAATGCAGTGATTTGTAAATTTTGGGATGGGAGTATCAAGGGAGAGTAGTGCTGTGGATTTCCCTAAAGCAATAACTCTTAATCCTTTACGAGACAATAATACTGTCCCTATTATAGCAAGGATAAAAGTTGTAAAGGCGTTGGCCAGTTCTCCCACTTCATACACATGATTTGACAATTTTGAGCTAACTGAAGTGAACTGAACACGAAACATTGGCGTAGAAAATTATTTCATAGATGCTAATAACAATTTCAAGTAAATAGTTTAATAAATTGTCAATAGCTGTTGAAATTTTGTAGAATTATGATTTGAAATATTATAACTTGTTTAAATAATTATTTGTAGCGCATAAATATATACGTTTGCCCGATTTCGCCAGTAATAATTTAAAATAATATTATTTTTATTCTAAGATACGACTACTGCGAACAAACATTACCAAACTAAAACATAGGAATATACCCATCTTGCAGAAAACAATATTGACAATCATTGACACCATAGGTACGATAATGAAAGAATTGCAGATAAAACAGATATACTTACCCATAAGTAAGAGCATTAGGTTGGATACCAAACTTTTTCATCAACACCAACAATTTGACAGCCAACAGAGGTCTGGAATGTTCTCCACACAGTTGCATCATCAATCGATAGCATACTTCATCGCACGCCAATCTTAGCTTAGTAGCTCTTACGAGTAACTCGTAGGATTGTTGTAAAATGGCTTTTTCTTTGCCGGTGTTCAGGTGAAGCATACTCGGCAGGATCATGAAATATAAAGTGTGACAAGTTCCGCTCAGACATCTTGCCCATAGGTCAGGTGAGCGGACGTATTTTCTGAAAATGAGTTTCGTTTTGTTTTATGAAATTTGACAAACTCAATGTGTACAAAATCATAAAAGTAAGCAGGTAAAATTCTATAAATTGGAGATTTTTGGAACTCGTTTCTATTATTCTGTTGGAATTTTATGGTTAAAAATGTTTGAATAGTGGAAATTTTAGTTATTTATTTCTAATTTTGGACGGCATAGGTCGCCAAATAACTTTCTTGTGGATAAGTGAGATATTCTTAAAAAAGTTTAATATATGTTTCAAAAGTAAAAAATGTCATTAAAATCATATTCAAAAATCAAGTTTTTCACTGTTCCCGTTAGGCACAATACATTTTTGATTGTAATTCATAAATGGCACAAAATTATATAAATTTTTATTTATCTCACTTTTATAGGTCCAAAAAAAGGTGTGTTTCACTGAATGAAGACCGTGTCTCCATATGTCGCGCGTACCAGTGATTTCAACAGGATACAGAGACAAACTTGATTTTTGGATATGATTGTCTCTGTTATAAGCGTTTTCTGGAAATGGAGATAAGGAAAACTAAACATATTTAGCAGTCAAAAACCTATGTAGAATCCCTAAATAACAAAACTTTCAGTCTGTTTCATCAAAATGCCGAATCTATTGGAAATTGTTGCCATTACTGAACACTGGCAGACGGCGGATAGCTGGACTGATTTTCATCTAGAAAACTACAATCCTATTACCTCAATACTGTCGCAAGGCAAATCGAAATACATCAACTGGTTATGGCGGTGTAGTGCTATATGCTCGTGATAATGTAAGGCTTACAGAAAGATGTGACATAAAAGAACTAAGTGAGGAAAATTTGTTTGATTGTTGTGCTGCGGAAATTAAAATAAATGATCTGTGTTATCTAATATGTACTGTATACAAACCTCCAACAACCGAGATTCTCTACTTTACTGAAAAGATGGATCAACTATTAGACAAAGTTTGACAGGATAATAGGATAGTCTTGGTTGCAGGAGATTTTAATATTGATATGTTAGTCAATGAGTCCTTTAAATCTGGTATTTTTCCAATGCGATTAAAGACTGCTATTGTAATACCTATTCACAAAAAAGGAGATCCTTCCCTAGTAGAAAATTATAGACCAATTAGTCTTTTATCTTGTTTTTCCAAAGTTTATGAAATTGCTATGTGTAACAAACTATTGCTATTTTTAGAAATAAATAATGTTATCACAAGTACGCAGCATGGGTTTCAAAGTGGTAAGTCAACTACAACAGCAGTCTTCAATTTTGTTGAGAGAATTTTACACTTTTCAGATTCGGGAAATATTGTTCACGGAGTTTTCTTAGATTTAACAAAGGCTTTTGATTGTGTGAATCACCATATACTTCTTAATAAATTATACAAAATGGGGGTGCGAGGTAATGCATATGACTGGTTTCAATCTTATGTTTCAAATAGGACACAACGGGTTTGTTTTAAATATGACAATAGCCAATATTACTCTGAATCAAAAAATACTATACTGGGTATTCCACAGGGAAGTGTCTTAGGTCCTATTTTATTTGTATTATATCTAAACAATTTACCAAAAATTTTTACAAATGATTTTGTAGTTCTCACTAATTATGCCGATGACATAAATGCCTTACTATCTAGAAACCATTACAACGTACTTGAAAAAGGTACCTCAAATGCTGTAGAGAGAATTTCAAAATGGTTTGGTGAAAACTCGCTATTATTAAATCTATCTAAAATTAATTGCATACTTTTAAGCACAGTCGTAATAAAAATGAATATCTAGAGGATATTAACTTCCCAGGCAGCACACATTAGTATAACTTACGTATTTTATACGTAATACTCGTTTAATTTTGGTATTGGTTGATTCCGTATACGTTTACAGTTTACTATTATTATACATACCGTCTTTTAAACGATATATTATACGTTTTTTATATACAGCCTATGGTATATAAGTGTAAATTTTTCTACGTTTAAATATAGTTAACAATATACGACTAATTTTAGTTTGCGATAAACTACTTATATACAGTGGGCCTAAATATACGTTTATTTAAATTAAATTCGTATAAATTTACATAATATAACAATATGTGTTCTTCGTTTATAATTCCCGTTTAAATTTCGTCTTGGTTAACTTTTTAAACGTTTACCATCTACCATTTTTATACTTAATGTTTTTTAACAGATAAATTAAACGCTTTTGTTTGTCGATACTAGTTAATATACCTATATTATTCTACTTTAAATGTAAGTCACCTTAAACGAATATTACCAGTTTACGATGAACTAGTAGACATAAGAAAATAATATGTATATATTTAGTTTTTTTGCGTATGTGTAGTATTATTGTTCAGTGTTATGTATGGAATGGTTTGTGGCAGCACCAGACTCGTCCATTTTCATTTGTGTACACGTTTTGTTGCATTTCATGCTGCTTTGGCGTCGTGGCTTTTACGATATTGATTAAAAGCATAGGTAAGTTTCTATTAATGTTTTAATTTAGCTACTCCTTTAATAATTGTTGCATTTTACAACAACTACTGTTTTATAGCTAGGTACAATGTGTAAATGATTATAGAAACTCCAAAACATAACCTTACTTTTGTTTTTTTTATTTTGATACGTATTTTCAGGCTACTTATTTTCCTTTTTTTTGGTCAGTTGTTTTTTATTTAATAAAATATCTAAAATAACCCTGTCTCGGCGTCATCTACGTAGAAAAATAGCACAAAATGTTTAAGATGCTTTAAAATCAAATCAAATTTTTTTTATTCCCAATGAAGATAATATTAATAAAGCTTCGGACATTAATATATCATCTGATTCTATTATTTATAATAATTTCCAAGAAAATAATACAAATTTAACTTCGGAGCTTTTAGAAAATATTTCACCTGAAATTGAAATACATTTTGGTTATAGGAATGGGGATGAACCAAGCGACTTAACCGACCGAACGATTAGGTGTGCCATGCAAGATTGGCTTAAGTTAACTAAGGCCCGTCTAGGACACAACACATCCAAAGTGTTAAACTAAGATTTTAATTTTCATATATATTTTTTGTTATTTAAAGAAAAGTTCCGTTTAGTTTGTTATTCAGTATTTTAGTGTTTATTTTTTTAGTACTTATTTATTTTTTAGTATTTTATTGTTTTTTTTTTTAATAAAATATTGTTCTGTACATATAAGTGATCAAAAAATTTCCTAAATATTTAGGCCAATTACAACTAAAATAGAAACACGAGCAATGCCTATTTCTGGTATACACCCCTGCTATGGAAGAAATCCAAACTGTCATTTAAGAAATATTAACATTTTTCCATGGCCTCTTTTAGAAATTTTGTTTTGATCACTTTATTTAATTTGTGTTTGAAAAACATTTAAAACTAAATAAGGTAACGCATTTTACATATTAATAAAAATCATACAAATATATATAAGATAAATCTAATATAGACGTTTAGTAAAACAGGATAACTAAAGGTAGATAAAGTAGTAATGTTAGACGTATAAAAAATAAAAAATATATACGTTTATAGGGCGGACATTTTCACGTATATATTGGGTAGCATATCAACGGTATCCATACGTATATTGTAGCACATAAAAAACGTCTTTTATACGAAAGTGTATTCGTATAAATATACTACAACTATAAATCTAATATAGACATAGTAAAAACGTTTAATTATAGGTGGATAAATTCTTAGTAATCGACGTTTATATATGACAAATAATATATGTTTATAAGGCGGACATTTTCACGTATTCATACGTATGGTAATAGGTAAAAAAATACGTAATTTATACCAAAGTTTGCTGCCTGGGTTATGTAATACATTACTAGAATATTCTAAATCGACAAAATTTCTCGGCGTAATAATTGATGAGCATCTAACTTGGGTGGATCATCTACATTCACTTTGTGGAAGGCTCAGCAGAGCTTGCTTTGCATTGAAACAAGTTAAAAAAGTCGTAGATCATTCTTATCTTATTTCAGTGTATTATGGTCTATTCTATTCTTCAATGTGTTATGGAATTATTTGAGGAGGTTCACACTGTCAAGAAGTCTTTGTAATACAAAAAAGAGCAATTCGAATATTGGCTAATCTAAAGCTTACAGAATCATGTAGAGGTCACTTTAAAAATCAAAATTTGTTGACAGTATATGCTAGTTACGCATAGGAGTGTATCATGTTTGTGTATAAAAATAAAAGTATATTCAACGAATATATAGCAGACCACCTTCACAACACAAGGTTTAGAAATAATTTTTGTCTACCGACGCATAGAACTACCCTACTGGAAAAGGGATACTGTCACAAATGTTTGCAATTTTATAATATGCTTCCTGATCTTTTAAAAAATACTAAGAGTCTATCAGCTTTCAAAAATAAGGTCAAACAAATTTTGATTTCTATTGAGCCTTACAGCTTAGATGATGTAAACGAAGTGATTGTAAGTAATTATTATTTGTAAATACTTTGTGAAATCAACAGAAATCTATACTAGTTTTCAATGGTAATATGGGTTTTGCTGGGTTTCCCCATATTTCTTAGCAAATGCACCACTATATTCATTTCTAAGTCACCCCGTGTGCACTTTGTAGGTCATCAAACTAGTACAGATTATCCTGGCTTCTGACTTATACAATACAATTTTATATGTATTTTTTTCTGTATAATATTGTTCCTGGCATTAATAAGTATTATTATTATTATTTTAAGGAGAATTTTTACTTTTGAAAAATGTATTATACTTTTTTTGAGAATAACTCACTTATCCACGGGACGATATTTTGACGACATATGTTTTTCAAAATTACAAATTTTCACTACTCAAACAATTTCATCTATAAAATGTCAACGGAAATCTAAGCAATTAAATCTCTGACGAAAATAACTGTAAGTATAAAAAAATTAAAAACATACAAATAAAATAGTAAATAAAAAAAACAAACATTAACTAATAATTAGTACTTACCGAGCTAGTTTTTGAGCAGTTTTTATTTCCTGTTTAGTTCGCCTTGTCATCGGCGAACCCGGAGTTACTGATTGAAACAAAGACGATAAAGGATTTTTCTTCTTACCGAGATTTATCAGTAACTCTGGTTTCAAATTAAAATGAGTGTATTGATACATTTCACCTAAAAATAAATACAATTAAAACTAAACATCTATTTAAATAACAGTAACCAAATAATAATAAAAGCTTACCGGGTACAGTGGGTTCGGGCGGTAAAACAAAAACGGTTCTGTCACTTTTATGAACAGAATCTAATTCGATTAGTCTGAAATTAGTGTTATCTTCGTGACCGATTTTTTCAATGCAATCATCAAAAAATGCCAAACCTTGATCACCGTCAGCCACAAAACTTCTCTCTTCAATGAATCTAGAATAAAAATAACTTTTTTAGAGACTGTCCAAACTAGGCTTGTAAGTATATAGTTTCACTATATTTATGTGCTTTCTGACCCAGTCCAGACTGTTTGTTAGTGATTGTTCTGTTAAATTTTGCTTGTGTTGCTAGCAATACTAACTGCAAGATAATAGGTTTGTTCGGGTTCTTAAAAATACGTTGAGGACTATCAGGGGACAAGTTGTCCAGTGGACAGACGAATAATTTTGTATTCAACTACTCCATTGAACCTCGGATGGTTTGCATTAAATTTCAAATAAATCTGAACACATCCATTGAAGATTTATGTCAAGTACTAAAATTGACGAGATAGAAAAATAAAATTGAGCACATCTAGAATTCAAGACTGAAATCATGGAGAAAATTAAATGAAAAAAGCTCGACAGTTTAATCTAATAAATGGGACTAATTTTACACTTTCACAGAATGATCTTTTGCATCAAATAAAAATTGATGGCATTTTTTACGTAGATAGTTATTGAAATACATAAAAAAACCTTCTGTCATACAATAATAATGGTAGCAGAGTATACAAAAAAATAATTTTCCAAAAATTTTCACCACCATAAAAGTAATCGAAAACCGTCCTCATTTTCCTTCTTTTAGTGCCAATAACTTAAGTGGGCAATTATTGTATACAAGAGGTGTTCAATTAAGAATGGGACATAAAACTAAACATTCTCTGATTAAAAATAAGACGATTAAACGAAACATGGTTAGGTGAAATCTTACTCGTTTCCGAAATATAGGGTGTTAAAGTTGAAAACCCAAAAATTATTAATGGCTATAATTTTTTTATTACTCAGTATATTTTTACTGATTTCGGCAAGAGTTTTTGATTAGATACACCTATCAGCAAATATCCGTTAAATAAGCTATGCCAGTGGCGTACGGCATGGGTAAGTAACACCTTCAACCCTTCTAACTTTTACTCTAGTGTCCAAAAACTTAATTAGACTATAATTTTAATTGTTCTGATGTTTTTTTACATAAATTATGTACTCTTGTTAAAAACTTACAAAGTGATTGGTTTTCGAGATATTTATTTTTAATTTCTGAAATTTTGAAATTTTCATTTTTTCAACAAGAGTTCATGATTTATTTTAGAAAAAATTAAAATTATAGTCCAAATAAGTTTTTGGACAGTGCTGTAAAATTTAGAAAGAATGAATGTGTTACTTACCCATGCCGCACGCCACTGGTGACATCAAAAAAGTTTGCCGAATTTTTTAAAATTATACTGATTAATAAAAAAAATTATAGCCAAAAACGTTCTTCGGTAACATTAATGGCATGTCTCGTTTAACCTTTTATTTGTGTCATCGGCATGAACTACCAAGGTTATTAGCCTCGTGTTCTGTGTAGGATTTGTTACTGTTTCCTATCGCCATTTTAGGAACAGCACTGTTATTTAGAACCCAACAGTGAATGGTCGATTGGGGAATCCTACCTATGCATTAGAATTAATATTTAATATTTAAATTAAATAAAAATCATTGTCACCGGCGAATTCGAACCTGTGACACTTCGATCTCAAAGTCATGACTCTAACCACTGATCCAACCCACCCCAACTTGAATCGCCTTATTTTTAATCAGAGAATCCTCAGTTGTTCTGTCCCATTCTTAATGGAACATCCTGTATAGGGGATATAAGTGAATTCTGTATCGAAAACTTTATTTCCACCTAAGGTTATGCTTGAAGGTGGGTAAAATCAGCCCCCAAATTTTCCCTATCTGGCTTGTAGTCTACAACTAACCTTATTAATGCGTTTTTAGACTAAAGTACCTTTCAAGGTTATGGAAAGTAGCAGAGATCATAATGTTCTCAAGGCCAGAGGCAAACTTCCTCAGGAAATTTCCTCATATCGACTAATAATACTACTACCGGTGATTTCAAAATTATTTGAGTAAATTCTTGAGAAATTAAAACCAATAATTGAATCGGAAAATTTGATACCCAACCAACAATTTGGATTCAAAGAAAATCATTCTATAATCGAACAAGTCTTCAAAATAATCAATACAATAGAGAAATAATTGCTTTTCAATTTTTCTAGGTGTAGAACAAGAGTTTGGCAATGTGTGGCATGAGGGTTTAACGCATAAATTTAAATATTTCCTCACCAAACAATACAGTTTGTCCCAGATTCGCGTCTCTATACAGGGATCTTGGCTCCTATTATACCTACAGCAAATGTTAAATGGGACAAGTTTTAGAGGAAATTTGGTGCGTTTGATAACCGGCTTCAGATTTACGATCGGTCAGTTGGTTATGGAAATATCGGCGAAAAACCGAAAATGGCGGATTTCGTTTATCGCCTGTAAATCCCAAACGAATAATTTGAAAGCTGTCAAAATGTGAGATTATTCGGACACTTTTTTAAGACGAATAAGATAGCGTATATGACATGTCTCAATCGTCTTTTGTTATTCCGCAATCCGCCTCAACATTCATTTTTCTTATGGCTGCCATATTGGATTTTTCGATTTTTGGAAAGACCGAAAAATGTCCAGTCTTGTGATGTATCACAAGTGCCTAAAAGATTTGAGTATCATCGAAATATCACACTTCGTAAAGTTAGGTCTCATTTTTTTCTAAGGAGGCCATGATTTATTTTTCAGAAAATAAATCAGATATTTTGGGACAAATTCCCAACTGTGTGTTAAAAAAATGCAAGTCAGAAAACTCGTTGTTAATTTAATTAACACTTAAACCTACAAAGTAGATACAAATTGAAAATGAAAATCGGGACAGACACATTTTACAAGTTGTAATGTAATGTAAAACCTAATTATGTTGATTTGCAAAATGACGTCCATTTGCATCGAAACATTTTTGACAATTAGTAACTGTTTTTCGTACAACCCTAGCAGCAAGTGTATTTCCGTTAATGTTTCAAAAGGTGTCCAAAACTTGAGATTTCTATGGTCGCGGGAGTATCAAATTCATAGAACTCATTCTTTGTGTGACCCCAGAGGTAGAAATCTAAATGCGAAAGGTCAGGAAATCTAGGACCCCAAGATATTGGACCATTTAATGAAATGACGCATTCGTCCTAATGTCAGTCTAGTAGTACCACATTATTTTGAATAGTTATATGATAATATAGCAATATTATTCATTTTTGAATGGCTAATTCTATATCTTTATCAATAACCGATACCAGAGCTTCATCAGCAAAAAATACGAGCCTGTAATACTTCCCTGAGGAACTTCATGTACTACATCAATTGCTTCATCAGATATTAAAATCACCAATTAATATTGTTCGATAATGTTTACAAAACATTCTTCACAATTTTTTTCCAAATGATACAAAAATGTAGCATGAATTGCATATGGTGAGTGATTATGACCAATTACCACTTACTATCACGATATGTGACTAAAATAAACTTACACCAATAATTATTTTTGTGAACAAATGATTTATAATTTGAAAACAAATTGTATTCTATTTCTTATATAAATAATACCTCCTGTGTGTCTAAAATAGGATCACTAAGCAGAATTAATGCAGGATTGTAACAACAAGCTATTATTGAATTTTAAAAATTTTGAATTTATTATCGTAAAATTGCAAATCGAAATCCAAAAAGTCAGTATAAATATCTGAAAATAATTTTAAAATTCGGAAACAAATCTCAAAAATCTCTCTACAAATTATTAAGACCATCCCCGAACCCCAAAGGTGAAAACAAATACATGTAATTTAAAAAAAAAAAATCAAGCCTGGACATCCATGTTCTCTAGACACGTGGCATTTCGTTCTCAAATATACAAAGTTTTGTTTGATAATAAACTTTCAATATTTAAATATACTATATCTTAATTATATATTCTAGTTTAATAGTTTAAATTATTTTTTACTTATTCTTTTTAAATACTATGATTGAATTTTATATTGTCTATCATTACAATTTCTTCATAAAAAAATATATTTTTTCAAAAATCATAAGATTATTTTACCCTATATACCCAACTAAGCGATTTATAATTCAAGATTACTTGTTATCCTATTAACAGAAATGAATAAAAAACCTAGAACAACAAGAACCATTCAGAAAGAGAATATCATTTCAAATTTTGTTGATGAAGATCCAACAATTAGCATAAGGAATGTGGCACGACAAACAAATACGTCTTCTGCAAGTACTTGGAGAATACTTAAGGAGCAGCAGTTATATCCTCATCACTACAGATAAGCCCAAGAGCTTTTGCCAAACGTTCTACCGGGTAGAGTGGATTTTTGTAAAACTGTAATAATTGGCATTAATATTTGAAAATATAAAGAATTTACCAAAAATTCTAAAAAAAGTAATTTAATGTTGAACTAGGGAATTCAAGGTAGAACGTTGGCATTCTAACAACTATCACGTAAATTTTGGGTTTATATAGAGATACTGGACATAAAGAAAAGACTTGGAGTGAGAACTTAGGTCCAGACTCTCGTCGAAGACGAGATCTCTCGTTTTCGGGACGCTATGTCCCGAAACAAAGTAATGTGTGAAGTAAGGTTTTTGTGCAGCGATTTGTGAGCTATGGGTAAATATCTTTAACTTATTTTTAAAGTGTTTTGTTTGAGATGATTAATTGATTTACATATAAATGCCAATTTTAAATTTTCGTCCCGAGTATTATATTTATCTCATATATATTTTATTTTATTATATAGTTAAAGTTTCCCCTGCTATTTTTAATTGTTAATAAGTCCACACCATATAATTCAATAGAATGTTTATCTAGTTTTTATAAATCTTTATTGAAAGTTTGGATATATTTTCAAGTAGTGCTTTATTCCCGGTTGTTACAAAACGTTACAAGAAAGGACAGCCCTCAATCCCAATTTTTTTAAATGTATCCTTTTCAAGGACGAGGCCACCTTTACGCGACAAGGAATGTTTAACTATCATAATACACACTACTGCTGTAATAATAATCCACATATTAAAAGCGTATCACATTACCAACACTCGTTTAAAGTTATCACATTCTACGTGGAAATCTGAATGGTAATATGCACCTCAAGTTTTTAGAAAATAATTTGAGATATTAGAAGATTTAACGCTAAACAAGCAAAGATATCTCTTTGTTGTGCATGATGTAGCTCCCCGCACTTTGATAGAAGGTGTTGTAATTGGCTCCGATTCATTGGCCTCCACGTTTATATGATTTCAATCCTTTGGACTACACAGATTGGTTGTATGTTAAGGAAAGACTCTATGCTACAGAGGTAAATTCACTCCAAGACTTGCAGGACAGAATTGAACATCACTTTAATGTTCTCATAGCTGATCCTCAATCGTTTAGATAATTAATACATTCTTTAGAAAAACGGATAGAATTGTGAAAACGGAGGACATTTTGAACACTTACTCTGATTGAATATTTCATGTTTTTAGTCAAATTTATTTGAATTTTCTTCTCGTGATTCTTTGTTTAATTAATAACATTACACACTAGAATAATGTTATTCTTTTGGATTTTAATAAATAGGTAATTGTTTTATACTGTAACGTTTAATTTATTTATAGTTTATTTATTTAAAACACTTTATTTATAATGACTAATTAATTTATATAATGAACTGTACAACAAAGATTTCAAAACGCCATACCTTTGGGGCGTCGCCAAGTGGCCGCCATAATGGGGCAAACATGTCATTTTTAAAATGAAAATGTATAATAGGTACCGGTATGGCGTTTTGGTTTTAAGATGCTCTTTAGCGGGGGTTACACTGCCATACCGATAGCGTGTCGCTAAAGGGGTGCCATACCGAAAAAACTACAACTACAATTTGTCTTTACTATCCAACACTTAAATTAATAAATTAATCTTCTATCGGCAAACTTGCGCTATTTATACAAAGACAACTCTGTACCAGTAGTTTTTAGGCGATCTCGAATGTCCGGAAACTAATCTCTATGACTCAACGGCCACGTACTGCTGTTTTTGGTAGATTCTAGAAGCGGTGCGTTTGTCTCTATATGGCCAGCGCTAGACTTCAACCGCGGGCAAGGAGTAAACAAAGAACAGAGACAGCTTCGCGTCACAATACTTTATACCAGCAACAGTTATTGCTTCATCATTTTCAAATCAAAATATTCTGAAACCGGTACACAGTATCGAATTTTACCAATTGAATTATATTTAAGTTCCCATAAAATTTGGACTAGAAATGTTATCTACAAAAAGTTATGTTTAAAGCTACTCGGTACGAGCGCCCTCTTTGAGAGGCAGGTATAAAAACAAATTTATGCAATGTGTCAGCTTCCAAAACATATTCGTAAAAAATTTCATTACAATGTTGCCAGTAGTTTCGACATAATCGTTAAAAATGTGAATACATTTTTTTCAATACCCTTTATCTTGAAAACGGATGTGGTTACGAAAATTTTTTTCTGAGCAAACCCAGCTTATTTTGCAGTGTACTACCTATTCTAGCAACGGGGTCACCTTTTTTTGAAATACCCTGTATGTAATAAGATGTACAAGCAGGTACTTCATTCAGCTGTTCTGAAACTATGGAACTCAGATATGGGGGCTGTACCAGACAGACCAATCAAGAAATAATTTAAATATTTAAAAATAAAGTACTAAGTGTCATTGATAAAAGCTCCCCAATATGTAAGGAATAGTGACCTCCATTGGAACCTGGCTATGGAAACTACAAACGACATAAACTTGTCGAGGCGATCTAGCTCCTGGGTACCGCAAAACTAGAAAGACGGTTCAAGAGAACTAAGTGAAAAGCAGAGAATGGTGTTAGTTTGAATGGTAAAACTTTAAATTTAAATAGTAAGTACTTAAAATTGCTATTAAGAGCTCAAGCTTGGTGAGAATTTCTTTTTCTATATGTAGATTATTGTAGATTAATATTTTGCTTGAGCACCGAAAAAAAAAAACATTTTTCGGAAATGAATCACCCTAGTATGTATGGTATGTATCTAATCAGATGATGCATCAATACCTCTATATTACATCAGTTCAATAGACAATTCAGCAAAGAAGTAAAAAGGACCATTAAAGATTGGAGTCACATACTAACACACTACTCCAGCCTCTATTGGAAGAAACAGAAACTAGAGATACACTGAGGCTAATAGACCTAAAATACGATGGAAGAGGTCTTCACAATGGAGGAACCTCCTCAGGACAATTGTGCGACTTTACAATTATTTTCCAGTTCATGAAAATAACCCGTAGAATTGTAAATTCTGAATATTTAAATAAATACATTTTTAAAATGTAATATTTTAGGTCGATACAAATTGCTCATTGGTCTATTTTGATCCGATTGTAATGTTATAAAAGTACACCAAGATGCTTTTATACAAAAAAAAAATAAGACTGGTGTTGATGTATGGATCAGAAACCAAGTTCTAAGCAAAAAGAAATGTAAAATTTGGCCAATTTGATCTTATTGTATTCGAAAATATATTGTGTAAATTATATCTCGTTTTGATGGAAATAGGGTTGCCAACATGCCCTGTGAAGCGGGCGGATACAATGGCTTCACCAAGGGTGGTAGAAGCCCACAGACTTCTTAATAAAATGAGGTACTGAAATGCTGGCGATCCGTAGACACCCCTCAGCGTCAACCAACAGGTTTTCGATGAGTTGATAACCAGCATGACTTTGACGAGCTGAGAAGATGGCTGTCTGTAGACACCTCTCACTCTTCATCGATAACCAGCAGGTTTTGACAAGTCAAGAGGCAGGTTCTATATGCAACTGGAAGATGCACAATGGGCCTTATGAGGCATAAATGCTGTGGAGCAACCCATCCTCCTCTACCTTACAGATACAGATAGTGTTGCCAACATTGCGACGATGCTGGCAAGGAGAAAAAATAGTTGTTTGAGGAATAAACAAGAACTAATTGTTTTTACCTATTTTTTTGTAGTTCATATTATCCAAATTCACGTGAGATTTTCAAAAAAAGTTAGATCTAAGTGAAGTTGCGTTTATTTTAGATCCGCAACGCCCTCCAGGAGAATTTAAATTTAAAACTAGAGCTCAAAGTATGATCACCAAACCCAGGGTGTCCGGGTCAAAATGACGGTGTTAGCAACCCTAGATGGAAAAGTCTTGGTGAATTTAAAAAATTAAATTAGCTTTAAGTTTTGGTTTAAAAATTTTGAATTACCTTTGCATTTTTTTTGAGCGTACCGTTAAATAAACAAATAGTCAATACCAACGATTCGTATTGTTGTGCGAGCCATTTTTAACCAGTCCGCGTCTGCCTCCTTGTCGTCAACTAGTCTGGAAGCGCGCCTTCCTTGAATGTTCTTGAGTTGCCACAGCCAATTAGATTTTACACGATGCGGGAACGGCAATAATATCGTGTTTGAGAATCAGCTAAAAACTTCGAGTACCGGTATCGTGGTCTGCATTTTCATATAAATAGCGCGATGCGTCGAGGTTAGCTATGATCTCGAGACAGGAATGAAACTTCCTACCGAGGTTTGTATACTATTTTATTTACAACCATCATATTTCGATCAAAGTTAATAAATCTCTGTTTCGTTCTGAACATACCTAAAATATTACATTTAACTACAAATTACCAAGCTCGCGGTTTTCTCAGAATAATCAAGTAAATATATTGTTACTGTGATTACAGGGTAAACAACTGTCACCAATATAAATAAATGTCAGATAAAGCCGGATATTAAATTTGCGAATAATAAATATCAATAAGTAGTTTGTTGTATTTTAGTTCATTGTTGTTTTTTATCGTTTGTCATTAAATAGGTATTATAAAATTTGTCAAAAAATGTGTTATTTTTTTTTAAATATAAAAAATATTCATCTAGAATAGATGAAATGAGGGCGGGAAGTAGAGGTGTGTAATGTGACACTTCCCAACCTTCAATGACGTTAGTAATGACAACATTACATATATGGTTGTAAATAAATAAACGCTACAGTATTTTAGGTATAAGAATTATTGAATATTTATTTTTGCTGTATACAGTATGACAAAACATACCTGATGAACATTTGAGTTTTCATCACCAATGTGAAAAATCGATGATTAGCCTTATCTCTGCTTTTAAGAAAATCGGTGAGTTGAAACAAAGCCTCGGGGTCAGTGGTACCGACAGTTGGAGCTTTTGTAATCGGCAACAGATAAGATCTGTAACCTCTTAGAGACAAAACCATGAATTTGAGGAATGCTTCTTGTATTTCCAATTCCTGAGCTTGCTGAAACGTAGGATTAAAGGAATTAACATGAAAACTCTCTTAATATTTACGCTAGAAGCATACCTGTTTCTTTCTCCTTTGAAATTCCAGTTCTATGTCGTCCTGAACCATATTATCCTGAGTATTATTCGCAGTATTGTTCCTTAACTGATAATAGAGGTAGTCTAGAGTAGATTTTAAAATTTTCGCCGGTTTCTTAGGAAGCAATTTGATATTCAAATTTTGTCGTTGTGTCTCAGCAACCGTTATAATGTTGGTATCAAGGTCTATGCAACTAACGTCCGATGGTGGATCATACAAATCGAAAAATCGAGAATCAACTCCTATAAGGAACGGTAACGGAGCGTGGAGAACTTCAACAAGGCCTGAAAGAATAGTTAAATTAATAGTTCTTTTTGTATTTCGAATACGACACTCTGCAGAAGAATAGCAGTAAAAAGACGCTCACCAAGTGGACAAAGAGGTATGTAAGGACACTGCCACTTGAAAGGAAACAACATGGACGATACAGCTTCAGCCACAGACGTCAAAGTGTCCGGCCTCAAAGAATGTATCAGCACTTTCTGTTCGGTCAACATCAAAAGCAAAACTTGCAGACAATTTTCTGGGCCTAAGCTGATGAGAAGTTGTTTGAAACTAGCGGCGCTCCGCGGCAACGGTAGGTCTTCAGGTTGGGTGAGAATAACTCGATCCAAATTGTTTTGGGTCGAGACTTGCAAAAGAATTCTGGGCGATGGAAACGGTACTTCGTCCAGAAGTTGGGTGATATATCTTTCGACGGGGATCTGTTGTGGTTGCCCGTTTGTAACGATACTCTAAAATGTTATTGTAAAATACTAAGAAGTGTAAGAAATATGTATAGTATTTTAACAAGGGCAACCATTGATAAGAGAACATTAATTTCACAATGACATTTCTAAGTTCCTATTATTTCCTAAGGTGTCCCAATCTTTTAATTTGATGGTATTATAAAAAGATATATGAAATTAAGAATAATAATTATTGCAAATATATTATACACAAAAAAAAATAGTTATTTCTAAAATAGAATAATAATTATAAAATGTCCTACAGGGATTATAACCACTATAGGCTAAGTGGCATGTATTGTGGCTTTTAGTCCTTTAGAGCATTTTAACATATTTTAAACAATACTATTGCTATTTAATGCAAATTAACAAATTTTAATTGAATATTTTTAATTTCATTATTTCAAGAGTGATGATCAGATGACCATTAAGCAAGACTTTGGTAATTATATATGTAATAACTGTTAATAAAAAAGACATAATCAGAAATCAGTAGTAACGAAATTTATGTGGATATAAATTTAATTTATTTTTGAAGAAAATTCAAGTATTTTGGGCAGAGGAATAGAAATTCAACAATATTTAAATTTAATTTTGACCGAGTATCTCTAATTTGTTGTATTTGTGTACGTTTTTTGTTGATGACATATTCTTATTAAACATTGGTAAATGTATATTAATGTAAAATATAGCAATTTAGAACACAAGACAAAACTTACATGTAACCATCTCAACCAAACTTCGAAATCATCAGAAAAAGGCCAATGTGAGAGTACACAAATACTCTTGTTGGCATAAAGAAGAGAATCAGACTCCTCGGAGTATTTCAACATTTCCTTCTGCTTTTCAGTCAATTTTTCCTCCGGAAATCTTTCATAAAAGGTCACCGCTGAGCCGTAGACTTTGTGTTTAGCATCGGAGACTGTTAAGACAAAAGTACTAAAAACAGGCTTAAGTTGGGTGGCCTCTTTTGACCAGAGTTCGAGTGTCGCACCCATTGGTAAACAAAATAAAGGCACAGAATTAGGAAAAGGAAATTCTGGTAGGTCCCCCAAAGGATATCTGAAATGTGAAAAATAGGATGTTTACAAATCCTTTTTGTAATAATGAATAAATTGTAGAAGTATTTTGTCTCATTTATATTTAATATTTTAGTACAACAATTAATGTAAATTATTATTTTTAATTTAGTTTATTCAACCTAAAATAAGTTAACTTTTTATTTCACCCCTGAAATAAACTAAGTTAGTTATTGTTTATAAATAACTAGACCCTATCAATTAACAAGTTTGTCATTTGACCAAACAAAAATATTCAAATATTTTTATACAGGGTCCCTACTATTTCATAGGGACAGTATTGCTATCTCTTGAACAGTAACAGATAGAAAGTTGGTAAATTAGACAAAAGTTGCGCAGGTTTGTGGCAATTCCGTACACATTCATAATTAGTGTGGAAATATTATTCCACACGGTAATTCCACACTGTTTAGTGCATCGAATTGTCGTATAACCTTTAGTATGAATGAAAAAACAATATTATATTTTAAGGACATATCTATTTAACTAAATATTTCGTCGAATACTACAAAAATCAGTTAATTTAGAAAAAAACTTAAAATAATTTATAATTTATGTAATGTTGGTTGCCTATATAAAGGGGATAATACAACAAAAATTTAAATCGAGTTACCCGATTTAAAATATTGACATTTATTTTCAAATCTTTAATTTATTTTATTTCGATACTTTTGAAAACTATAAATAATAAAATGGACAGTGATAGTAATAGTAGTGATAATAATTATAATACTTCACCACATATTAAAGAAATAGCGAATAACATTACAGAAGACTTATTGCCTCAAACATTGGCGAAAAAATACAACTTAGCTTATTCAAGATTTATGGATTGGCGACTACAAAATAAGGTGAACTCCTTTTCAGAAACTATTTTAATGGCTTATTTTGGGGAGCAATCGAAATCTTTTAAATCTTCTACATTATGGTCAATTTACTCGATGTACATTGTCAATAAGGCAAAATGTAGATATTTCACGCTATCAAAAATTGCGCTCGTTTCTGAAAAGAAAGTCTGAAGGATATGTAGCAAAACAACCAATTTTTAAATGAAGCTTCCGATGATGTTTATCTACTTATAAAGGTAAATACTTAATAATATGAGAGATTAATATTTAGAATTAAAGAATTAAAAAATTTAAAAATGCGTGACGTACAAGACATTGGCTCTGCTGTTTTAGTCAATATAACAAAGACAAAAACTAAAGTTCCTAGAAAGTTTACGGTTACTGGAGATTTTTATGCAATATTTAAAAAATATGACTCTTCGTCCTTCAAATATACCTCACGATTATTTTTTTACGAATTATCAAAAGGGCAAGCTCAAAGTGCAACCAGTAGGAATCAATAAATTTGGAAATATGGCACAACAAATTGCTGAATATTTGAAGTTACCAGATCACAAAAATTATACAAGCCACTGTTTTCGCCGTTCGTCCGCAACAATTCTAGTTAATTCTGGAGCAGATATAACAAAGCTTAAAAGACACGGCGGATGGAAGTCAACTACAACCGCGGAAGGATACATCGATGACAGTTTATCACATAAAATGGATATCGCAAATTCAATTCTACATTCTGTAGAAAATAGGAGTGAAGAACCTGAAACTTCTACTAGCAGAATATCTATTTCAGAAACAACATATGAAAAAACCATCCAAGGTCATGATTTACCACCTCTTAATATTTCAAACTGTAATGTTGTTAATATTAATTTTTATAATAAATAAATTTGTAATTGAAATTTAAGAAAATTCAAATACGTTTATATAGTTTAGTGAATTATTAAACAAAATTAATAGTGGTAATAATTTGTTTAATTTTATTTGGGGCACAAATAGGAGAAACCGGGACGATGTCCACGAAAAATTGGAAAAAGAAACTATGTTAAGTACACATTTAAAAAGTGATAACAATAATAAATATTTACCACCTCTTTATATTTCTAATTTTAAATCGTTAATAAAGATCATCCAATTATTAAAAAATATATTAATTTGTGTTTTAAGTCATTGTGGTCGTAGAAAAAGTAGTGTGCCACTCGTGCAGAAAACCAATTCCACACTCGTATGATTGTGGCACTCGCTTTCGCTCGTGCCACAAGTTTCACACATCGTGCGCAATATACTATTTTAGCCCTTCTTTGGTTAGAATACCCAAGAATACCACCCCAGATCTTGAACCGTATTTACATATTATTAATAAATCTATACAAAATAGTGAAATTCATGGGAATTATATTAGACCCTAAGCTGACGTGAGAAGCTCACATAGATAATGTGATTAAAAAAATAAGCCCATGTAACTATGTTATCAGAAACTTCAGGAAGACTGTAACTTATAATGTATTAAAGCTTCTTTATTATAGATTGGTACAGTCTGCTCTTCAGAATGATTTAATATTTTGGTGTGCATCATCTCACATCAACAAACTATTTGTAGCACAGAAAAAGTAATGATATATTATTAAACTACTTTTTGAAAAATTATATTGTATGTTCAATAAAATGAAGACAATTTTAATAAAAATCAGAACATACATGCATACAACACCAGACAAAAAAGTGACATAGATCAACTTTCCTTAGGCCCAAAAATAGCCCAACACTCTCCAAGTTTTAATCTGACTTCTCTTGTACTACAGAACAATTTAGACAGTTGGAACGAATATTGCTTTTTGCATGGATTAATAATTAATCCCCTAAAATGTAACGTAATGCCTTTTTACTTTCCTATCTGTATACAGATATAAGGAAAGTATAGGAATCATGATTTTTTTCGACCTCGAGTTTTCGACGGATTTTTACGTTTTGAGGTCCCCTGAATCCATTTTGACTATTTTCGCGATGATGTCTGTGTGTGTGTCTGTGTGTGTGTGTGTGTGTGTGTGTGTGTGTGTGTGTGTGTGTGTGTGTGTGTGTGTGTGTGTGTGTGTGTGTCTGTGTGTCTGTATAACGCATAACTCATGAACCGATACACAGAAAAACACCAAATTTTAAACTTAAGCTTTGTTTTAGCGTCCAATGAGCTGATTAGATTTTGGGCAGAGTCGGAACATCTGGGGGGGTACTTTATAGGTGGTCATTTTTATATTTCATGGAATATATCTGTTATTTACGTTTGGAGAAGAAAATTCTTCAAATAAAAGTTACTTCTAATATAATTATCTATAATTTTTGTTCTATGCAAAATTTTCCTAAAATGGTCCGTATTCGAGAAATTTGACAAAATGTAAAAAAAATTATTTTTTATAAAAATTGTTCAAATAAAAGTTGTTTGTAATATAATTCTCTATAATTTTTATTCTATACATAATTTTAAATGGACCGTATTCGAGATATTTGAGAAAATGTGTAAATTTAGAATTTTGAAGAAAACTCAAAAACGGATAAAGAAAAAACATTAAATTTTAAACTTAAGGTTTATTTCGGCCTGACGTGCAATTATTAGATTTTAGACATAGTCGGAACATCTGGGGGGGTACTTTATGGGAGGCCACTTTTATATTTTATGGAATATATCTGTTATTAATGTTTGGAGAAAAAAATTCTTCAAATAAAAGTTACTTCTAATATTATTATCTATAATTTTTGTTTTATGTAAAAATTTCCTGAAATGGTCCGTATTCGAGAAATTTGACAAAATGTGCAAAATTTTGATTTTTATGAAAGTTTTTGAAATAAAAGTTGTTTGCGATATCAATCTCTATAATTTTTGTTTATACATGATTTTTCTAAAATGGACCGTAATGAAAAAATTGTAGGAAATTTTAATTTTTCAGTATTTTCGTTTTCCATGAATATCTATAGAAAAATGTTTCGAGGTAGATGTATGTGGACAATGTATATATTTAGTTTATCTTCTAAACATTTATAGAGATGCTGCAATAGGTTGTACAAAATAACCGGAAAAAGCCTATAATAACTAGATAGGAAAGTCATGTGTTGGACACATCAGATTTTTATAAGGGGCTTAACATAAACTTAATTAATCATACATGAGTTGCATGGAAATCGTATTAATAAAGTTGACAGTATAAAAGATCTTGGGGTTATATTTCTATCGTTTTCATATGAGGCTGAAGCTAGCAGACAAACCGCGCGGCGATCCCTTTATGTTTTGATATTGTTATTCGGCAAAATCTTTGGACTTTAGTATCATGAGTGTTTAGAAATAAATAAATAAATAAATATTAGTGTATTTATTGAAAAAAATGGATTAATTCAATTTGAATTATTAGTAAAAATAAGATAATCTTACACAAAGACGGGGACGAAACAACCACATTTACAATGCGATTATAAATATAATTTTTATATCAAATATTCATTAGATTTTTGTTGATTAAACAAAAAATTATGGTCGAGCAATGATTTAAAATATATTTTTTTGGTCTTTTTAAAGTCAGGTGTTTTGTCGTTAAACGACTATAAGAACAAAAAGACCAAAAAAACACATTTAGCACGAGATTACAAATACAATTTTTATACCAATAATTTAATATACCACTAGCTATAAAATAAATAAAAAATCATTAAATAGCAAGACATCTAAATATAGTTTTTAGATCATTAAAGTCAAGCGTTTCCGCGGATAAATATTACTCAATAAAACCAACAAAAACAATCATTTAACACGAGATTCCAAATACAATTTTTATACCAAAGATTCAGTAAACAAGTATCTAAAAAAAATAATAAATTATCAAATAGCAAGATCTCCAAATCCGTTTTTTAGGTCTTTAAAATGGCGCGATTCCGTGGATAAACCTTACTTTATCCAAATGACAAAAACCAATATTTAGCACGAAAATCCAGGTATAATTTTTAGTATGAATGATTCAATACATTGGTATAATTTAAAAAAATAATAAATCATTACATAGCAAGACCTCCAAATACGTTTTTTAGGTCTTTAAAATGGCGCGATTCCGCGGATAAACCTTACTTTATCAAAATAACAAAAACCAATATTTAGCACGAAAATCCAGGTATAGTTGTTAGTATGAATGATTCAATACATTATTATAATTCAAAAAAATAATAAATCATTACACAAAACTATTAAAAAAGTATGTATTAGCTCAATAAAAACAATATAGCACAGCTACTTGCAAACATTCAAGACGAGATCAGTACTAAAACTGTTAAATACTTTTATTTTATTTCACCTATTTTTCAATTAAAGTTTTGGTTTTTCCAATGAAGCACCCCTGGGCCATAAATTCTTCAATGAGATTATACTACACTACAAATTCACAAACGCATTTTCAATGTGGCTTTTTTGGAATTGCTTAAACCTTATTTCCTATATTAATAGTAGTAATCTTCATACATTTAAATCAAATTAAAGTTTTATGGCAGTTTCTTCTCTTAAATTGGGTTTTAAGTTTATTTTAGACAAACTAAATAATCTAAGCGACATTCCGCCCATACCATAGCTATGTAATGATTTATTATTTTTTTGAATTATAATAATGTATTGAATCATTCATACTAAAAATTATGCCTGGATTTTCGTGCTAAATATTGGTTTTTGTCATTTGGATAAAGGAAGGTTTATACGCTTAATCGCGCCATTTTAAAGACCTAAAAAACGTATTTGGAGGTCTTGCTATGTAATGATTTATTATTTTTTTGAATTATAATAATGTATTGAATCATTCATACTAACAACTATACCTGGATTTTCGTGCTAAATATTGGTTTTTGTTATTTTGATAAAGTAAGGTTTATCCGCGGAATCGCGCCATTTTAAAGACCTAAAAAACGTATTTGGAGATCTTGCTATCTAATGATTTATTATTTTTTTGAATTTTAATAATGTATTGAATCATTCATACTAAAAGTTATACCTGGATTTTCGTGCTAAATATTGGTTTTTGTCATTTTGATAAAGTAAGGTTTATCCGCGGAATCTCACATTTTTAAAGACCTAAAAAATGTAATTAGAGATCTTGCTATTTGATAATTTATTATTTTTTTTATTGATACTTGTTTACTGAATCTTTGGTATAAAAATTGTATTTGGAATCTCGCGTTAAATGATTGTTTTTGTTGGTTTTATTGAGTAATATTTATCCGCGGAAACGCTTGACTTTAATGACCTAAAAACTATATTTAGATGTCTTGCTATTTAATGATTTTTTATTTATTTCATAGCTAGTGGTGTACTAAACTATTCGTATAAAAATTGTATTTGTAATCTCGTGCTAAATGTGTTTTTTTGGTATTTTTGTTCTTATAGTCGTTTAACGACAAAACACCTGACTTTAAAAAGACAAAAAAAAATATATTTTAAATCATTGCTCGACCATAATTTTTTATTTAATCAATTAACAAAAATCTAATGAATATTTAATATAAAAATTATATTTATAATCGCATTGTAAATGTGGTTGTTTCGTCCCCGTCTTTGTGTAAGATTATCTTATTTTTACTAAGAATTCAAATTGAATTAATCCATTTTTTTCAATAAATACACTAATATTTATTTATTTCTAAACACTCATGATACTAAAGTCCACCTAAAAAAAAGATTTTGCCGAATAACAATATCAAAACATAAAGGGACCGTAGCGCGGTTTGTCTGCTAGCTTCAGCCTCATCGTTTTCATGTCGACTATGCTGGAAAGCCTTAAAACAGTTATTCATGAGACGGCATTCGGCAGAATTTGTGAATTTGCATACAAATAAAATCTTATTTTATTCACTCATAGGGTCGCATTTGGAATATTGTTCTGTTATTTAATCACCATATGCACAAATTCATATTGAAAAGCTTGAAAGAGTGTAAAGTAGATTTTTAATGTATTGTTTTTTAAAATTGTCACTACTGTACTCTAATACAAATATGCTTGCCACAACAAATAATGAAACAGCTTCCCGAAGAGAATTTATTGCTTTTGTAAATGGCCTTGTTGACTCTCCTGAACTCTTGCAAAGGGTAGATTTTTATATCCCACCTAGGCTGTTGCCTGGTAACTGCACATTTGCTTTGAAAGCTCATAGAACTAACTATGGCTCAGTAATTGGAATGATCAGACTTCTGAGAAATGCTAATACATTTACGGTAAAACAAAACACTGATATTTTTAACTCTTCCCTGTATCAAGTGAAAAGAGCTGTGAAGTAAAAAAAATATATGTTAGGTTTACATAAGTAATATATTTATGTGTGTGTGTGTGTGTATTTTTTTATTGAAAACTTATGAATTTTGTAAATAGTTTGAACTGTGTGATATATAAATTAATAATATATTGGAATAAAATACTTCAATCATTTCAGTAGCATGTTAAGTAAAAATAAAAGTCCTGAAATGAATAAATTAAAATTATATTTAGCAAAAATGTATTTTGTAATGTGGAGGAATTCCTTAATTTTAATTTTATTTTTTTTATTTATTTTATTTTCTACCTTATAACAGATTGTTACAATATTACATTTATAATATATATTTAGGTAGCTTCCTCAATGGTGGAGTGACCTAGGCACTTATGCCTGTTATGTCCATTTCCACATGAAGAAGCTAACTAAGTGAATTAAAAAAAATTAGTATAATAGATAGAGTATTCAGTGAGAAAGTGGGAGGCACAGTCAGAGAGAAAGATAAGGCAAGGCAAACTAAATTAAAATTTAGTAATTTTGAAGTTAATTTTAATAATTTAAAAAATTTCAAATACTTGAGGATTTGTCAAGATAAAAGTTTTAATTTGTTTTTTAAATGTAGAAATTTTATTTATTTCTTTTAAACGTGAAGGAACCAAATTGAACAGTTTAGGTCCAAAGTAGAAAAAAAGATCTTTGGGTAGAATTAGGCAATTAGGCCAACATAAAAATAAAAAGAGATTTTTAAATTCATATTTCGGAGTATAATAAAAAAATGCATTTATTTAGATGACTTATGTTTAAACTTTTAATCTCTCAAGATTAAAAATTAATACAATTAAGTAATAATGATACTTTTATAGTTTTTAAATGATATATTTATGTGATTCCATTAAATTACAATGTAGGTATCATTTGACATGATAAATTTTTTTGTAAATATTTGTAATAAATTGTTATATATTATTATAAGCGATTCCAAACTTTTATTAAGGTGTACTCGGGCAGACGGGCAGAGCGTGCAGTGGTCCAAATTTGGATAGTGTGGATAGCAAGTTAGTGGTTCGAGACCCTAAACTTAAATAAAAAAAAAAAAAAAAAAAAAAAAGGAAAAGGAAAATGTCTTGGTAATTTAAAATGTTTAGTTTTTAAAAAGTATATACTTATTCAATGCATAGTGGCGCATAACGAGGTTCATTCATTTTTATGTTGGCCGGCAATTAAACCCCGGAAAAAGTGTCTGCCTTTTTGGAATTAATTTTTTTTATATTAAATTAAGACGCTATTAAAATTTCAGCGTGAATCAAACACTTCAAATCATATTTAAAAAAAAATCAACATTGGGGTTGATTTATTAATTATAAACCCTCCCAAAAGTGTCTGCCTAAATTACTAGTATTTATAGAATTACCTAAACATTCAATTGTTGTTTGTTGGCCTCTGAATCAAACACTTTTTTTGGGTCATATTTTACGACGCCTTTCTATTATGCACAGTACCTGGTGTCCCAGGGTGGGTCTAGCCAACACAGGTATATCTGCTTTTCCATCCAAATGATTTCAAATTACAAAATTTCAAAGGGCATCAAACACTTAATGAAATTTGGGTTACTAGCTCTTGGACTAGGCATTGCAATCAATACAATTATATTACTTTATTTTAAATTGACTAGTCTGTTAGTATTTATATATTACAAAATGGTTTTGTTTTCTATATATACTACTCTATTTTATGTGCTATAAGACAAATATTTAAATAAATATTTCCAAATAATATTACAATCATTGTTGCATACATTTTCATAGAATCTACTCTAATGGCAACAGCTGGGAGAACATATAGATCAAAAACTAAATTTCAAGCAAAACACTTCTAAAGTTAAAAAAAACAGGATGTATAACAGGTGCCAAATATTTTAGAAGTTTAAGGCCCATATTTATAAACAGATCTCAGGTAAGTCTGACTCAGCTGAGCTGTCCTTTATACCTATATTTTTTTTAATCTTGGGTTTTTCAACCCTGGTCCCATTATCAGTTCAGTATGTATAAGTAACTTACCTTGATAAGTAATCTGGTTTGTAATTTAAAAGGGTAGCACGATTCATTGATTTCTTATAACACAAGAAAACATCACTTCCTACTATACCCTTGTTCAAATTTTTGCTGATACAACAGAAAGCATGTGGTGGGGATTCCCCTTTGCTAGCAATCACCACACAAACATCTGTTACAACCAATGCATTACATGGCATCGATTTTGGTCCTCTTCTAAATGTGATAAATGTTTGAGAAGTTGAATTATTTACATTAGCAACATTACCACCCACACTTTTTTTCACTACTTCTGCATCTTCCATCAACCATTCTTTTCCTTCATACATAACACCTAAACAAACATTTTAATTTCTTTAATCTATCCTACATATCCAACATAAGTTGCTTCAACATAAAAATTAAACCCATTTTTACCTATATCAACTAAAGGTGGTTTATCTCTCCCTCTTCTAACACACAAAAAGCATTCAACCGTTCTTAAACTACCATGGTTTAGGTCAGCACTTAGTCCTGTTGGTGTTTTTGTTATTACTTCATATTCATCTGGCTTGTTTTCTCCCAAGCTAGGAAATATAACACTGATATCTGTAATAGGGGGCTGTCCATGACTGGCTTTCAAATTTCCTCCTTCAGATAGAGTTGTCTCATCTAAAGGCTCTGGATTATCAGGTAGACCAGCCACCACAAAATAATCTGCAACCCTTCTATCATCCATTTTTGATGTATATTTTTCTTATAATCTAAAAATAAGGCACATAACTTTTAATTAAAAAAGTATATTTTGTCTTTATGTGTTGTTTGTTTTTGTTGGTTTTATCCTTTTCCTTTCATTACTTAAGATGAGTCATCCTTCACTTGCACTGCTTTTTGACAATAGAAAGTTATAAAATAAACCATCAAAAGCCTTAATGGATCGAATTCCTGAATGGAGTCATAATTAATCTGATTTAGTTTTAATGGACTTTACTATTGACGTTCTTTCTATAAGTTTTCTAGTTTTTCAGGTTATTTGTTATTTTCAAGGACGTCAAAATTCCATTTTCAAATACGTCAAATGTTGGCCTTGTCGCTTTGTCAAAATTAGGCATATTTTTACGACATCTCTTTTGATGGTCCGTAACTGAAGACGTGTTCTGTGATAGGGGCATAGATTGATAGGGGTCTATTCTGTAACAATTCCTTTATATTTTAACATCCTTTAAAAATATTTTCTTCTTTACTTCGGTCATTATTTAAACAGATCTTTGAAATACATTTGCCGCGTTTGAGAATCCACATCGGATGCATCATGGAATGTTTTATCACGTGATAGAGAATTAGATCTGAATTAATTATCCTTCCTCCATGATCTGAATATAGATGTAATCTTAGATAAAAGAAACGATGTAATAAACAAACGCTCTAGACTTTATTGGTCACGTGATAAAATGTCAATTACAAGTTAGAAGCATGTTAGAAGTTTAGTTTTTAAATTTGAATTTTGAGACTACAAATCAACCTAAATTTGAAATCTAATCAAAATTTAAACAAACTAATCACTTTTATATTCATGTTAGCCACATACTTTGATTTTCTTTTATTGCCGCGTTTGAGAATCCACATCCGATGCATCTGAGATGTAAAAAATCTCTGATCACGTGATTCAGTATACGTAAATGTAATGGGATAGATGTGTCCGATGTGGATAAAAAAACGCTCGAGATGTAAAAAATGCATCCGATGTGGATTCTCAAACGCAGCAGATGCTAGCACAAAGGATAAACTGACAAACTTGGCTTCACAGAACACTTACTTTCTAGCATGGAACGAACATCTCATTTACATCTCATTTGAAATCGAGATGTAAAAATGTAATCTGAACAGGTACAGGGTTATTCATTATAAATTACCCACCCCTTATTATCGTTATTATTGTCTATAGAAAAAAAAGTTTAAAATAAAAGTTGTGTGGTAATAACTGAATTTTGTTAAAATGCTATCAACTATACAGTGGCGTGCGGATTTAAAGGGATACAAAAATATAATATAATTTTTTTAATGGGACACCCTGTATATTATTACATTTTTGGATTTGTCATTTTTTTCTGATTTCAAAAATATATAATATGTCGAATATCTTAGGTAACTTGTTACTGCAAATATGAAAAAGTTATCATTATTAAAGTAGGCTATGAAAGTGAAGCTGTATATCTAGCTGCTCTTCCTGGTTTGCTTGAACTACACGCTTTTTTCTACTAAAACTGGAGGTGTGATTCACCTTTAGATAAATATTTTTGAACGTATTTTCTGATGGTGTTGGAAGATTTGGATACAATAATATGCTCTTTTTCTTGCACGTTAATTTTTGGTATTTTGCATATAACAAGTAAATATTTGGACTTTTTCTTCCTCACTGTAAACCATTTTGATTATTTCAAACATAATAGTAGTCATTTTCATAGCCTACTTTAATATAATAAGAACTTTTTCATATTTGCAGTAACTAGTTACACAAGATCTTCGACGTATGATAACTCAAAAACGGTATAAGGTACGGGTAATATATTATATATTTTTGAAATCAGAAAAAAATAACAAATCAAAAAAATACGTTCAAAAATATTTATCTAAAGGGGAATCACACCTCCAGTTTTAGTAGAAAAAAGCGTGTAGTTCAAGCAAACCAGGAAGAGCAGCTAGATATACTGCTTCACTTTCATAGCCTACTTTAATAATGATAACTTTTTCATATTTGCAGTAACAAGTTACCCAAGATATTCGACATATTATATATTTTTGAAATCAGAAAAAAATGACAAATCCAAAAATGTAATAATATACAGGGTGTCCCATTAAAAAAATATATTATATTTTTGTATCCCTTTAAATCCGCACGCCACTGTATAGTTGATAGCATTTTAACAAAATTCAGTTATTACCACACAACTTTTATTTGAAACTTTTTTTTCTATAGACAATAATAACGATAATAAGGGGTGGGTAATTTATAATGAATAACCCTGTACATCTGGGATAAACAAACGCAGATGTAGATGTAGTAGATGTGTCCGATGTGGATAAAAAAAAGCCATCACCCACATCCACATGCTCGAAGCATCCACCATACCCACGGTTCACCCATGGAGGAAGGATTATGGTTCACCACACCCACGGTTCACCACACCCACTGTTCACCACACCCCGGTAATTTCGGAACGTAATACAATGATACCAATACTTAAACAAAAACATTTCGACACTTGACAGGTTTCCAGTTTGTTTAATTTGTTGACTGTTGAGTATTATCAAATTTATCAAACATTTGCTTGTTGGGTGTATTTAATTTTTGAACATTTAAAATAATTATACAGGACGTCTTCCCAAAGTATGCCTCCCAAATATAAATTTTCAGAAGGAGAGAAGGTCTTGTGTTTTCACGGGCCTTTGATTTACGAAGCGAAATGCTTGAAGTCAACCATTACCAAAGAGAAACAAGTCAAATATTTTATACATTATGCTGGGTGGAACAAAAAGTAAGACTGCATGAGTTTACAAATTACTTATTCTGATTAAAATTGATTTTAGTTGGGATGAGTGGGTTCCTGAAAGTAGAGTATTGAAATACAATGAAGCAAATGTTGCTAGACAGAAGGAAGTTCAAAAAGCACATTCAGCTCAACAAAGTAAGAACAAAAAAGTCACAAAGAAGACTGCGGTAGTTAAGAGTGATGTGGTAAAAGATGGTGACTCTAGAGCAAGCACACCAGTTGCAGAAGTAGTAGCAAAAGGTATTTAGTTTAGAGCATTATTATTTATATTAAATATATAGGCTATTTTAATGCAAATCAATATTTTACTAGTTGGAATAAAGACAAGTACTTTTATCTGATTTTGAATTAAAATGTGTCAAGATAGGTATAATTTTAGAAAATCTTTTTGATTTTGATAATCATTTGTTTCACTGATTTGAAAAATATTTCAATTGTCATTTTAAAGTGACACTTGTAATAATCTATCAAAACCAGTAACAATAATTACATGGACTCCTTAAAAATTGAATCTATAGGTAAAAATACATTTATTATTTATTATCAGGATATATGATGCTATTAAATGACAAACTTGGACAGAACTTAAAGATGAATTGTTAACAAAACAAAAACCTCTTGTTTATAGGAAAAAGTGGCTAAGGAAGCTAAATTCCTTGAATTCACTGTTAATAGGTACTTTCGTTCGTCCCACTGGTGTAGGAATGAACTACACCAATGCACACCATACCTTTCATTTGGCATGGTGTAAAATCCACTACACCTTCCTGTCGGCATTGTGGTGTCCACTGGTGGATATAGTCTCCACCAGCTATTTAGCAGGAGTGAATTACACTCGACATGTGAATCAGAAATAAGGAGAAAGCAAACTAGGTAAATAAAGGTGGTGTAACTGGTGTAATTTACACTGGTGGACACTGCACCAACAGCGAACGAAAGAACCTATTAGTTCTGCATCCATAGAGAAACATTACAAAAAGCTTGTTCCCTTTTTCTTGTTAGTGGTTCTTCATTACTATATAATTAAAGTAATCTGAAACTATTGAATTTTTGATAAAGATTGGGGTAAAGTGCTATGGGCACAATCAGCTTAGAACTTTATTGCCAGACTGCTTTGAACCCTTCCCAAATCAGATAATATAAGTGTGTGTCGAAAAACATGTTTGAAAAAAAAATCCATTGAATTCAACATTTTCATGGTAGCAGAACTTCTGGACACACTTTATATCATTATATTTACAATTTTTATAATTTGTTGTTAAAATAAAATTTAATGATGAAAGGAATTCTCCTTTTAGAGCTATTGCATTTTTATCAGCTTCTATAACATATATTATATCCTTAATGCATACATTTTATTGTGAAATATAAGTATCTTTTACAAGGTACAAAGAAAAAAGAAGTTAGCACTCCTTCTAGTGGTCAAGATTCTAGTTCAGATGTTCCAAAAAAGAAGAGGGGTCGTTTAGATCCATCTGTAGAATCTGAAGAGCAGTTCCTTAGTAAAGTTGAGGTAAAAGTGAAGATTCCAGATGAACTGAAGCCCTGGTTGGTAGATGATTGGGATGTTATTACCAGACAAAGAAAACTGTTCAATTTGCCTGCCAAGACAAATGTTGAACAAATCTTGGAGAATTATTTGAATCATAAGAAGAATACAAAGTCAAATAATTCAAACAAGGAATCTGCTACTATTGAAATCGTGAAAGGTAATAGGAACTAATAGAAATTGTATATTTTTATTATCACACTAATTTAATGCACATATCTATGTGATGCTGTTTTTTATAATTTTATTTTTTAATTTTTAGGCATAAAAGAATATTTCAACGTCATGCTAGGAACTCGGTTGCTTTATAAATTCGAGAGGCCCCAGTACGCAGAAATACTACAATCATATCCTGAAAAACCCATGTCAGAAATTTATGGGGCAATTCATTTACTACGCTTATTTGTTAAATTAGGTGCCATGTTAGCTTATACGCCCTTGGACGAGAGAAGCATCCAGTTGCTTCTGCTGAACGTACAAGACTTCTTAAAGTATTTGGTAAAAAATAGCACACAGTTATTTAATTTACAGGACTATGGAAACGCTTCCCCTGAGTATCACAGGAAGGCTCTGTGATATAAGGAAGAATTAGACTGGGATAGTTGTGACTAACAAAAAGTATCTCTAGTATTTGTAATTGTCTTAGGGATTGATCCATTTATTTTTAATTCAGTTATTCATTGTGAAAAAATATTTTAAATGCTTAAAAATATTTTGATTCCAGAGTAAATTTGGCACCCTCATGTTTTTCTTATAAAAAAAATGGCTAGATCATGATTTGTATTTAAGTAGTTCCTTTTTAATCATTAATATTTACTTAATATCCAATTATATTGTGTACAGGGTCTTAAAATATTACAAAACGTAACGCCTTGCCCATCTGTTGGGCATAAGTGCTGATATCTGCATCAGTATGTAACAAAAATACATTGGTGTCAAATATAGTGGTCTAGCTGGGGCAGTATTAAAAATATACAGAACGTATTTAAAGTTATACATCAATTATAACTATTAATTAAATTAGCTTAGGAAATATTTTTTTGTTTAAAAGTTTCTGTTCTGTTTTTATAGCTTTTGTCTATTTATAAACATGTATTTACAATGTTATTGTTCATAATAATTCATTTATATTTTAGAAGAAAAAAAGTATAGAGGTTAGTAGGTCGAGTAGATCTGAAAAGAAAAAAGGCCAAAGATTATGTAATTGACTTATTGACAAATTTGGTTTTTATAAAACTAATGTATTGTTTTGAATAATTTGATAGTTTTTATGTATACCTTGTTTATCAATTGCTTTTCTATGTGGAATAATAATATAGTTTATTTGGTCATATTTAATTTTGACTTACAAATATCATAAATATTTGTTTTTTATTGTTGTGATGTTGTAAACTGCCAAAGGCAGCAATGATGCCTGTAATTGTAAATTATTGGCTATATATGGACGTATCTGATGTGTGATTCCCCTTAAACATTATTTCTAGAGAGCCACAGATCTATGTTTCCAATTAAAATCCTATTCGTAAATTCTATCATTTTTACTCCAAATGTTTCTTAAATAATTTAATTATATGGAGTAAAAAAAATGTTATTAAGTTATTGTTAGAAATAGCAGAATAACATGATTTGAGTCTGGTTAAAAATATTTTTTCATTTTTTGTGCTAGGAATATAAACATTATTAATAATATTTTTGTTTTATTTATATAGGTCGCCCATGATTCCAAAAGAGCAAATCTATCTTAATCTTACATGTGAAATGAAAAAGTATGGTGTATTGATGGTCACTAAACACTGTTATACCATAAAACTTTAAATAGTCCATTTGAAAAAATATTTGCAATAGTCCATTCATTTAGTTTACACCGATATTCAATTAAGTACTGAAGTAAGCTGCAAATTACTTAATCTTGTTTGTCTTTATTCATAATTCAAAATGAGACAGGCAGTGACAGACTTCTACCTGTCTCTGACACTGATCTGTATTATTTTACTGGATAGGATATAGGCTATATTTAACATACTAAAAAATCGTTCCACCAAGGAGACCGGAAGTGCAACAATGCTGGCCGATTTGGGCAAATTATGGTGGGTTCACAGAACTGAAATTTGGGATAATTTGACGTATAATTTAACCTATAATTTGATTAGTTTTTCTTCTTATTTTTCTTCTATTACTTTTGCGGGCGATGTCCTTCGGGAAATTTCACCCATGATTTGATTTTTTATGAAAGAAAATATAAAAATGAAAACGTGAAGCATATTGTGTCTTCAGGAATGAACGTTTATTGTTTATTTCATACTCTTTTTACTTTGTTTTCCACAATAAAAACATCTCATCGTAGCTTGTTGACACAATTTAATGACAAATGTGATGACAAATAGAAATAGAGGTTACGTTAAGTAACATCCGGTCCGCCATATTATTTGCCCAAATCGGCCAATTTTTTGGAACGTTTTTTAGGGGGCTATATCCTATCCAGTAAAATAATGCAGATCAGTGGTATCTGATATATAGATTCCATCACTTTCTAACATATTTTAAAAATATGACAATTACCTTAAGAGTGAGTCCTAGATTGATATTAAGAATATTATAGACATATTCTTTTTATTTTTTGTGGTCTTTACCTTGTGGCCACATACATCCAGAATAAATCACACTTTTTATTATTAATAATTTAGCTTTTCCTGCTTTATTTTTAATCAGATTTACGACTTTCAGTTAATGTGACTAATTTGTACTAAATTTTCAATTTACGTCCCAATTTATTAGTTGCACAATTTTATAACCTTGATTTTTTGTCGTTTAAGAAAAAGTCCGGTTTACTCACGAAATCAAACTACTTTTTTCAAGGGTACCATTTAGATCCGGTGTTAGACTATAGATTTAGCATGGCCACAGTTTATAGCTAAAGCATCAGTTTGCTCACTCTGCCTCGGTACTTTTGATCTCAATGTTCCAGTTTATATTTTGCGCAACTCGGATTTGTATCCCTGGCGCATACAGAATCAAATCATAATAACCCGAGAGCCCACTGCAAATTTTTACCGTCATCTGATAATAAAATGAAATATACCTCTAATATACCTCTAATTTTGTTTGCCCTTAAAGTTTTCCAGAAAATAACATATTCAAATATATCTTGATGGTGGGTGAGGTTTTCCGGGTTTTCCTCACCTGTAAGTCAAATGGCACCGTCAATCATCTTTAAGTCGCCCCGGAGCGCCACGGCAAATAATAATAGCTGTCCCTTTCCCCGCACAAGCTCGTAAGGGGGTGAATTAGTAGGGAGAGTATTATATTATTATATGTATATCGTTAAAGGGAAACATAGCCCAAAAACATCTAGCCACGATTAGTTTTTATCCTATGTTGTGACGTCTAAGTACTAACTTTGTATGCCCCTCTACGTATATAACTCAAGTAGTAACAATAAGCTTTTTACTTTGAAATATATAAATATATTAGTTTAATAGAGGGTATCCAATTGCTGAGAGCAAGACAAGGATACTCTCCCCGTTGTTGGCTGAGGAGGAGGAAGAAGAAGAGATTTTTATGTCTAAATTCAAATTGTTTAATTTCAAATATTTGTTCTGGGATCAGATCTTAATTTATTATGTCGAAGGAACTTCACAAACGAAAAAAGCACCACTTCTTTTAAACTTATGAAAATTTCTTAACAGCTTATGGGATACTGCTGATTTCTCACATAATGCCGTTCGATTGTCTTACTTAAATTTACATCCGATATGTTTTAAAGTTTTCCTATATTTACAGTTCTCTTATTTTTAATTTCTTTCTCAATTGTATCTAAATTTACATACTTTTTGGATGCTTTCATGCCGTAAATAGTATCACGAATTTTAAATTTCATTCCATCGGGAAGGTCCTCAATTTTTATCTTGGAGTGTTTTTGTAATTTCTGTTTTACTACGTTCTGGTTTTTCAATACCTTCTAAAGTGTCGATTCGCCAATACCTAGTGCTTCCCTATAGCTCTTTTATATTACCTGAAGCACTTGTATTAAAGGTCCACCATGTTTTTTTTTTTTCGGCAAGGAAATAATTTTTGTCTGACTTTTTTGACTTTTCTGTAGATCTAGTAAAATTCAACATGGCCCTAAACTAATTAACCTATAATATTTTCTCACATTCCGCCTTTTTTAATTGGGTCATGTTTGAACTTTATTCATCTTAATTGAATATGGGTGATAACTAAATGAATGGACTGTATTCTAATTTACGGCTGGCTGCATCGCCATGTGATAAATTAACGTATTGTTTAATCGAATATAAAATGAAACTCATTTATAAAAAACCAAATTTCTTTACATCTTTTATGACTGCCAGCCCAATACATAATAATCATTGTTTAATAAATTCTATTCATTTCCGATATATTGGTACAACTTACTTCAGTAGCAACAATGTTATTGCTGAGTAAACAGTATCTTTCAAGTCGATAACACTATAGCTTACTTATTTAAGTGTCGATGCACTAATAAAGGAAATTGCGAAAAATATACTAAAAAAGTGAAATAATTAATTACAGCTAGGACAGGGGTTACTCGTGTTAGTCCAATTCGATGTGCTGATAATCCCATTTCAATTTTATTGCTCCCGGACTACCTGGCGATGTTTTTTTGACAAAAAAATCGATTTTTGTGAACGCTGGACAAACAGCTAGTCTGAAATGAAAAATTCTTATCTAGTCTTCATCTAGAGAATATTTGTGACAAAACCCCCACGAGAGTATTACCCTAGTATTTATAGTTTACCCTCTTGAGCAACCTGAAGAGAGGCATGCCTTGTCGTTGAAGGCCATACATGCATTTCTTTGCACTACTTTTATTTCGAAAATGCTATGGGCCGAACGGATGTCATATTGAAAGTTTCAAAAAACTGCTTTAAACCTGAATAAATACACTTTACAAAAGTTTTTGTTCGGCCGATGTTTGTAAATTTCATTAAAGTTACCCCTGTTTTGTTACATTTTCTCTTGAAAACCGATTAGAAAAAAGTGCTTCCCGACAATCAATCAGAAATTTAGTCTAGTTCATGTTGTTCAAAGGGTGTATTTTTAATTCGAATACTGTGTATGAGACGCGATTAAAGACGCGCCGTCATAGGTCAAGAAATTCGGAAAAATTAAAAGCTGAAATGTTTTAGGTATGTATAGTTAAATAAATGCTTTGATAAAAATGTCCGAATTTTAAGCTCGTTTCGCTAATAATGAAAAACTGATTCCAACAGTGTTTTTTTAAGGAATAACTTTTTCACAATTACAAACATTAATAATCTTTCATTTAGTTCGCAATACATTTTGAACAAAAGGTCAGATGGAAATTGTTTGTATATAAAAAAATCTATATTGAGCCCATTAAATTAAATTCCCCACACTTTTTATTTATAAAAGTTACTATCTGATCTTTTGTTCAAAATTTATTGCAAAAGAAATACTGTTGGAATCAGTTTTTCATTATTAGCGAAACGAGCTAGCATGCGATTCGATTAAAATCAAAGTATTTATTTAACTATACCTGCAGCACTCTACTTTTAACTTTTAATTTTTCAAAATTTCTAGACCTACGACCGAGCTCCTTTAATTTTATCTCAGTCATACAGTAATTCCCTGTAAAAGTACACCCTCTGGGCAATATGAACTAGACTAAATTTATGATGGATTGTCGGGAAGCATTTCTTCTAATCGTTTTTCAAGGGAAACAATAAGTGTAATAAAATAAGGGTAACTTTGATTAAATTTACAAACATCGGCCGATTTTGAGCGCTCACCATTCCCTTAATTGCCAACCTATCGACTTTTGTATAGTGTATTTATTCAGGTATAATGCGGTTTTTAAAAAATTTCAATACATTTGTTCGGCCTACAGCGCTCGCTAATGCAAAACATGGCTAGAGCGCGCCAAAAACAAAACAAATGTATATATTATTGTTAGTTTGTTCTTAAAAGGGACATGGAAGCGTTTTGGAATACACATCTTTGTATAGTTCATTAGCCATGTGGGTTTGCATTAGCAGATAATCATTATTAAAGGCTGCAACGTAGATTTAAGCTATTTATTAAAGAACGACGTTATCAAAATTAGATTTTGGTAAAGAAAAACAGTAGAAAAGCGATTTGATAATAGTCCAAATAATTTTTATTTGAAGGATTTTTTGAATTAATTTTCATTTTGGGTCAAAATGAGAACGCATTCTAATAGTATTAATAATTACTATTATTATGGTTTATTTACTGTTAATGTTTTTATTTTGCAATATATCATAATAATAGGAATAGAGCAGATTTGCATATTGGTTCAACTCTGATGTTGGTTTAAATGAAAAATTTTATATTTTGCTGTTTTTTTTTTCATTGCTGTTCTTGTAGCCCATTAACACGTTCACGACCGCTAGTATATGAAATTTGACGATGCTAGAAACCAACCGTTTTTTTTGGGTGGCATAACTTTTTGACAAATATTAAATTTTTATAGGTTATATGTGTTTTGTTATCTATTTTTTGTATTTTTACTTAATATCACATATATGTGACATCGGTTTCCAAAAAGTATTTCATTAAAATATACCACCTGTCACAATATAGTGTGACGTGTTATTTTGTATAAATTATAACATATTTTATAATCTAAATGAAACTAAGGATACATTTTTTGATTATTTATATTGCAAAAACTGAGAAGAACTTTCTATAAAAAAACAAACTACAAGAAAGACATAATTATTGTGAGAAATAAAAAACATTGTAACTCTGACTTTTCACAAATTCTCATTTTTGACTTTTAGGCCACATGCCAAAACATGGGGACGGACATAATCTAATAGAATTATCTTCATTATCCTTACATTGTAAAGAGGAATACCAAGTCATGCTCCTTTTTTGTGTGTCTACAATTAACAAAAAGCTGCACAAGTTGGAAGACGATATAAACCACAGCCGCCACGTGAATTTAATGCTTAGCGGTCTCTTTTATCTAAAATTTAAGGTTATGACTGGAACCAACCATCTAATCCTAAAACCATATGACACGTGTGTGTAGCAGACACGCCCAGAAACTGACGCCAAAACACATCTGTCGCCGCTGAACCGCCCAGGAGTTATTTGCATTTAATCATTGTAGGGTCATTGTCACACATTTGTGACATCAGTTCCTGGAAAGAACAGCTTGTCACATATATGTGACAAGTGGTCGTCAACGTGTTAAATAATTATATAAATGTTTTAATACAATATTATTTTAAAATTTCAGCACTCATTTTTATATTATCAAGTTTGCAAACTGAGCTATGCCGATAGTCCTAATTAATTTTCAGTTTTTTTATTTGTGTTGGCTCTAAGAGTAACTTAAGTACTTTTTAGAAATTAGAAATAATACTGTTTGTCAAAATATGTACCAATAGACCAATTTTAATAATAAAATGTTTTATTTTACCATAGCTCTCGAAAAATATTTTCAAATTTTAAGGTTCTACCTTGGATTATAAAAATCCATTTTTGGACGCCATTTTCAAAGAGCTGGAGCTCCCTTAGGACATGCCTTCATTTGAACTTTTTGGAAATACCATGTATTATAAATTTGCGATTTTGTATACTTACCGCCCATTTTAGTAATTTTGAATGAAGATCTTATAGAATTAATACAAGATTCTTATAAAAAATTTTTATTTAAAATAAAAAAATCAACAAAATATGTACAAAAACAAAATCAACAATAAATCTGTAACTCAGTCATCAATGGTAACTTCCAAATTCATCCCCACCCCCGATACTTCCGTGGTAAGCGGATAAGCCCTCATGTCCTCCAGGAGATCCTCCAGAATGAACGTCTTCACTGGCTCCCAATATTGAGGTGTAATGTTCAGCGAAGCCGGTTCCTTCTGAGACTCCGTAACCGCCGCCACCACCACCACCGCCTCCTTGGCCCCCGTGTCCTCCGTCGCCATGACCAGCTGCACTGTATTTACTGGACGCTACAAAACTTCCGCCGAAGGATCCTTGGTGAGCATCGTTTCCTGAAAAAAGTACAAATTATTAGAAATCTTATTCTTTTGTAGGATAAGCACCGAAAAAATTAATCATTAAAATCTTTATACATTTCTGATTATATCTGTTTAATATAACACGACCTTGATTAATATTCTGCTTTTTTGGTCGTTATTACATTTATGGAATATTTTACAAATTGATACGACATAATTTTGGCACTACTAATCAATTGTATAAAGCTCTCGGGCTCTAATCAGATTATTAATGCTAACATTATGTCTCATCAAATTGATATTAAAATATTCTCGAGATTTAGACGCAACAAAAATAGCTGACTATCAAGATCTTGGTATATTACCCTTAACTATTTATCAAGGGTTGGTATTACCAATACGCAAACCTCAGATGTAAGCGGTAGTGTCAGGCGCCACCGAACCAATGGGTTCTTAGAATAGTCTTTTGTTAAAAAGACCAGTAATAAATTTATTTTCATATAGGGCTGACATATTTGCCTTTATTAATCATACATTTTTGTAATATACAGCACGGTAACCAACGCAAAGCAAAATAAAGATTAGACGGTTAATTATATTTGGTCATGCTCAAGAAGAAACAAAGAGAGTAACTCTGCCTGCCGTGATTGGATGCATTGTTACATTACCATTAGTATGTAGCACGTATTGTATTGTTTGTTCATTTCTGGTCTCCTGGAGTCAATGTTAGAAAATAATCGATATTTTGTGATCTGTTTTAGTAAACTTTACTTTTTAAATATCCCCATAAAAAAAATCGAGAGTTAAATCTTCGGCCAATCCAGCTACAAATAATTTATGCTTGGTAAAAATTGATTCAGTTTGCGTAATAAGACATTATAAATATTGATGACCTTTTAAGGTTTCATTGCAAAAGTATAGTCCTATAATCTTATTATTGTCACCTCCATTGAAATAAATCAAAAAGGGAGTTACGTCTAGCGACCTAGGTGGCCATTCGATTGTTTCCTCTTCGCCCAATCCATATATCTGGAAAGACATTGTTCAAGTAGTTTCTCAGCAAGACAGCATAGTGCATGTGGGCGCGCACCATATTGCTGCAGCCACTGCAGCATCAACTTCAAAAGTTGATATAGGTAAGTTCTAGATAGGTCAGCACAAGCTATTATTCCATAATTAAAATGAGACTGAAAACGTTTTTAATAAAGTATTTTGTGTTTAAAATATTAATATGCCGCATATTTGTTTGAATTTAAATAGTATACAGCTTTTTAAAAAGCTATTCTAAATATTGATCCCATCTTAAATTATGGTCTATTATTGTCAGATAGTTTATTTGCAGATGCAATTATAATTTGATTACTAACTTCGAGGTTATAACTAGACAGGACATTACTGTATAGGAAATAAAGGGCAAGTATATGTCGTTTTTGTTAATGGATTGATAGAAATCAAACTAAATTCTAATTTTTTGCAAATCGATTTCCATTTTTGACTTTCGGTTAAACCAGTTTTCGATTGTCAAAATAATGATTGAAATTGAGAATTTTATTTTACATCAAAAATATTTACCATGATTGGTCAAATCGAAGACGGATGCTTTGCCACCACCTCCTCCTCCTATGCTTACTAGACTGACACCATGGTGGAAATCACCTCCGATAGAACCATCAGGAGAACCGTGTCCTTGGCCATCGTCAAGACCTTGGCTGCCACCTCCCCCGTGAGATAGAGCTTGTTGCCAGTCTCCTCCGCCTCCTCCCTCGAGCGATAAAGCGTGTTGCCAATCTCCGAGGCTACCTACAGAAATACAATTGATATGAAAATGTTCCTAAATATTACATATTGCATAATAAATATATTATGGACATCCGCGCAACTTGTAAAAACCGTATTGTCAAAAAAATCTTAGAACAAAGACATTTTACAATCTTTGCGCCAAGCATATTGAATTTGCTACCCGGTATCTATAAAACATGTAAACGAATTAACTAAAAAATTAATAAAAAATAATTAAAAAAGTTTCTACTAGATAGTGTCAGGCATAATATTTAGGGAATTTATAAATAAATAAATAAATATAAAAATAATATTTTACTTAACAATATATCATTATTTTTGTCCAATTTTTTTATTATTTTATACCTTTATATTTGTGTTTTTTTTTAAATTACTTTTTTTACTTTTATTTTACATGCTAAATCTAAATAAACAATAATTAGGTAGGGCGCAACCTTTTTAGGTTTTTATGAGGGTTACCCTCATGTTCATGTTTTACTCTTCGTTTAACTTTTAAAGTTTTTGTTAGGGCCGATTTTATCGTTTAAATTACTAAACCACAAGGGTTGATTTGCAAACAAAACATTCAACCAGGCGAAAAGTGATCTGTTTTTTAAGATAGATCTAAAATCAAAAACAAAAGTTGAAAAGTGGTTTAATTGCTCTCAAAATGTTTGTATGACGGTCAAATAAGTGTATTGCCCTTGCAAGCAGTTTTTATTCAGTAGTTTTACCCTATTCAGTCTTTTTATGTTTTGTTCCCGTAAATCAAGTAAGTTGCAGCGACTATTTTGACATTTTTTTCTCGAAAAGTCGGAGTCAATAAAAAGCTGAATGGGGTAAAACCACAGAGTATATAACTACGAAAAACTGAATAAAAAATGCTTGCAATGGCAATAATAGCTATTTATAAAAACAGAAACAGAATTATTTTATGTAACGAGTGAGTATTTGCGGGACGAGCAAAGCAAAGATAGTTTTCGCCAGGTTGAAAATTGTTTGTTTGCACATTAACCCTTTCAATAAAAAAAAATGCTTGCAATATCATCTTAGATTCAGATAGGCAACACTTGTTCAAGCTACATGCCGAATTTCGTTGAAAAACGTAAATATCCAATCACGTGGTCGACATTCCTACACCGGAAGCAGTAAAACCGGACGACAAAAAATGCTTGCAAATGTATTTTTTATTGTTGTTGACGTCTAGAAGTATATATTTCATTGCCAGCAAAACACGAAAAAATTCATCGATAAGCAACTTTACTTTGAATTTCACAGGTTACATGACCGTTCCAACCACCGGGACATAGTACATGTTGTTCACCTTCCTCTCTTGTACTCAACTACAAATAGCAGGCGAAAAATACGATGTGCCACTTGTTGCGGTCAGATGAGGGACTATTATGTTATATTATCTTTAATATTTCAAACCTTTATGAAAGTGAATGTCGGTATTATTTTAGTTCATAAATACATATAAATGGCAAAGGATAAATTTATTAATACCCTATAAAAGTAATAAATTAATTAATCATCGGTCGCTTTCGCTGTCGTCTTAATTATCGCAAAACACGTTGTAATTAGAAATCATTAGGTCAAATAGAATAAAAGGTCTGGCAAGCTCTGATATTTGAAAGTGAATGTTATTTTTTGTCACATTTTTTTTGTAAGATCGAATCTGATTACGTTTTGTTATGAGTAAAAGTTCAGAAAGCAGAGAATATAAAATGTTTCTAAAATTTGTCATGGATGCACGCACTTTCTCTTTCAGAATAATTAATAATTCGAATTTATTAAGATAATTTAAATTAGTGTGTGCATAATATTGATTATTTATGCATACAACCGGATGGAATTATACCTATTGATTATTATGTAACATATTGCTTCCAGTTATTTTTTACTTAATTATTTATACATATAGGTATGTAATCTTTTGATTTTACTTCCTACGGAGGATTTTTAAATCGCTCTTTGATTTAGGTAGGTATATATTTTTAGTTTGATTTTTACATAATATCTATGTTATTTGATGTGGAAGTGGACTTATGTAAATAATAAGAAATTATAACAAGAAATTTCGTATATGTATTTAAATGAAATATTGATGTCTAAAGAAGAGTATAATGTGGTAATCTTAAATATTAAGCTTTTTTGTGTAGCTCCAAACACTATTATTAGGAAGGTGCTTTTTAAAACTATTGCTTTTGTTTTTAAAATTTTGAGCGAAGCGAAAACATTAAGTGATAAATAACTAAAACAACATGAGGACCTTTTTTTAGAAAATATTTAAATTGGATCCCTATATATCGTCACCCATTGTCCTTTATTTACAAGATGGCAACTCTAGTTATCACCCAAAAATATCACCCAGATTTATGTGGCCCGAAAGAAAAAAAGGTTGAGTACAGCTGCTCTAGAGCATGAGCATAAGGTAGAAGTTTATACTTCAATCTTTATGAATAAAATGTATCGCAGCTTCAGTGAGTAGATGCTCATATAAAAGTAGATACTCCTATTTACTGGCTACGTTTAGTGAAGCTTTTCTTTTTTTAGAAAATGTTTTGAGCAATCTTGTAAATTTGTGAATTGCACCATATTCCGACATCATGAACAGATCTGGGCCATGAGGCCTCTATGCTTGTAAACCATTCATTTGAATTGCATGTGGCTTGTACATTAATGTTAGGAGGATACCCTTTTCGATTTATGTATTGATTTTCATGAACACGGATCTTCTTTATACTTATGTGAGTACAATCAATGACATCTACTGCACAGGAAAAACTATATATTGTTTCCCACTTTTCTTTGCCCATATGTATATCTCCGAAGACATTTTATTTAAGAGCTAGATTTTTTCTATAATTTTATTCATAACCTGCGTCACAACTTTTGAAACTGAAGATGGTGGACTCACAAATCTTCTTTTAGTCCAGATTGAAAACCTGGGTCTGCTACATACATCAAAAATATTTTTAATTTGTCAATTTTACATATCGCACCGCTTTTTATTTCATTGGACTCTTCACCCAAAAATGGTTCGAAATTCACTCTATGTTTTCTTTTGTAAAACGATATAACACTTTATAGTCATGGTGGCAGGTCGTTCTTTTTGATTTATAATATTTCTTTGCTCACAGATTCATAAACTCCGTACTTCGGTCAAACTGAAACTGAATCTCCCTCGAAGGAGACTCTACTTATGTGGAGTAGAAACTCAGATTTTTAAGCAGAAATTTATTTTTATTCATAAGAAAATTAAGTTTTTATTCACTTCAAATTGTACATAAGAGTACCTACTCATGATGAGCAACTAGCTTTAGTTTTTATTCATACAGATTGAAGTATTTACTTCACATTTATTAGGATAAAGTACATGCTCTGCTTTATTCATATCAGCCAATGATACGAAATCGATTCTACCTAAAATTTCTTTATAAACAAAAGGTTATATGGCAACTGGTTTCGGTCCTTCGGGCCATAATCGCAGGTCTACAATTACAGACGAAAAATTTTGTATAAGTACAACAAACATTTTAATACATAATTTTTATAGTGTTCCACCAAAGGTTCCGTCTCGGTTACGGTTTCGGCCAATTTCGGCATAAAATATGAGTTTAGGCTGTAGTTTCGGTTTTGGCGGAAAAGTGGCCGAAACCGAAACTATTTTTGAGTTATTTACTCATTTACTTCCGGCACATTGGTGTTGGTGACGTGTTGGTGACCGTGCCAGGAGCCATTTCAACACAGTGTTCTTGCACACAAACTTCTTTGCTGTGTTCCAAGTAAACAGTCTTCAGTGCTTCTGGCCAAATTCATTTGGATCGGAGGAGTAATGTATTAGGTGAAACCGTTGAAAAATTATTATTTCTAGCCTACAATATTAGACGGTTTAATTATGAATAATAATTTAATTATAAGTAACAATTTTACAAAACATCCACTACAGATGTAGTAACATTTGTTACTTTGATTCACTTACTCTTTTTTTTTTTAAATAATAAAAAAATATAACTGTTTATAAATTAATTGTCTTTTTTGATCACATAGGTAAATAAGTAAGTGTAGCTGAAATTTGCAATACGAGTTAATTAGTCTAGAATAACAATAAGATATTGCAAATTTCAATAAAAAATTATTGAAAGTTTCGGTGTCGGCCGAAACTAAGAAAGGAGCCGAAATTCGGTTATAAATTTTTATACGGTATTGAGTCATTGTCTTACTAAATATTGATATATGTTGTTTTCATTTTATTTAGAAATATTACTTACCAGTGTCTATAATACCGGATTTTCCTAATCCAAGCAGGGATGCGAAAAGAAGGTACTGAAAAATAAAAAATCATAATTATTTAAGTAAAAAAGTATTAGATAACAGGATAAAAGTTACTCTGAGAGCCTTTTTCCATCTATTATAATATGTATAAAATAAATTAAATTTGTAATGTTAAAAATAAATTTCATTTCAAATAGAAAAATGTTGGAAAGTCAAAATTTGTGTTATTTATTTTCTAGAAATTACTTGTATGAATTATACAAAAACAATTAATTTTTTAATTGTAGAAGAATTCAAGTTCTGTTTTTTCTTGGAACAGAAATTAAAGGAAATAACATTTTTTTAAAACCTAGTATCTATGTATGATAATTCAAAAAATACCAGTATTATACATATGTAGTTAAAAAGGTATAGAAGTAAAATTATTTACTGTGCACTATCTTTGTATCAGTAAGGTGGGGGAGAGTCAGTTGCCCTATATCACTTAGGCTTCACCAGACTCAATTGTGCATCCTTCAGAGGTATACAAGACCTGCCTCTCAGCTCGTCAAAAAGCCGAGATATGTCCCAAGATACCCCAATTTTTTTTAGTCGCCTCTTACAATGGGTAGTTGCGCGATTTTATTTGTCCTGAAGTGGCCATTTGGAGGGCTTCTATCACAGCCTTCTTTACTTAAGTTCTTAAATATAGAAGGCTGCTTTTATCAGCCTGATGGTAAATGTCCGCTTCACAGTGCTTCTATTATGCACAAAATAACAATAATGGTAAAGTAGAAATAGGCAAAAAAAAACCTCAATAGTTTTTAAGTACTCCACCATACCTGCTGAATACTATTCTTCATCATCACACACCTTTGTGCCTTTTTATTCTTTTAATTATTTTTTGTGATCGCTGGAGCTTTTTTTTGGTCTTCAGTTACGTAAGGCACACACCACCACTGACCTACACGCTGGTACTGGGAGTTCATAAAAAACAAAAGGCCATAGACATTTTACAGAAATGAAAAAGAAACAGTTTAATTGATTCGGATTCGTGAGAGGAACGAACAATGAAAATAACGCAAAGAAAATAAAGAGGTACAGGAAAAGGGAAAGGGGTAGAAAAAACTAGTGGAACAGAATCATTTAAATCTGTAAAAAGGAGGGCAAAGAATTAATAGAAATGAAAAGACTAGCAAACTTTAATCGCAATCAACTCAAATAACAAATTATATTATACGTATTAAATCATTAATGAAATTATCTTTCAAATGAAGTATCACATTTTATATTACGTAACAGTTTTATATCCAACTTGAGGGCGCTAAAATCGAAAGTAACGCAATGAATAATCATATTTCCGAATTCTCCATAAAATTCCTTATTATTAAAAAAAAAACAGGTTGGTTTTTTGTTTTTCTTAAATTTATGTTAAATCAAACATTATTTCGACTGGCTGGTTTTGAAATGATGGCCCTGTAGAAAGAGCTAACTACAAAAAATGTTTCTAAAATAGGTCCGACAAAGAGAGAAATACGAGTCCGTGATAACTATGCATAGCTCTGAATATCCAAACTGGACAGGGATTATTATGTGCGAACTCAACACGTTACGTGTTGAATAGATAGAGACATTACATAAGAATCACATTCTGTCGAACGAAGATAGAAGCTTCTCAACACGTGCCGAATTTAAAGATGAGAATTCCACTGCTGATACAAAGAAGAAGAATTTACTGTTCTATCATGGTATAAACTGTTCTGTGGTTAGTTCTATTAAAAAGTTTATTTTTTTGAACTTGCATTGTTTAGTAAACATTTTTTTGTTGAAAAATAGCTGTGAATTATTCAAAGCAGGTCAATGAGAGAAAATGAGATAATATAGGTATGTAGGTAGTTTTCATATTAAATTTTTAATTTTTAACAGATTCCTTAAAATTTATATGATCAAAACGGTTTTACATAGTGTCATGTATTGATTTCCCGATCAAAACGTGGGGTTTTAAACACTAGAGCAAAAAATTCTAACTATCTACTCGTATATGGAAACGTCATTAAATGATAGCTGTTTACACGAATATTATCAGAGCAAGGTAAAAATAATGTGCGAAATGAAAATTATTCAAAAAGAAATAAAGAATTATGTGTATTAAGATTGTTTATGTCTTTACTTTTACTTAGCTATTAAAAAAATACACCTAACAAATTAAATCAAATCTGAAATTATCGTTTCCAATTTTTCTTATATTAACTGAGATGGCTGTGATGTATAAATAATCGAACAATTGCTGTCATGTCAATGTTCTTAGGCTTGTGTCAAATCAATTTGAGTTTATAAAAAGAGAAAATTTTTAACAAAAATGAGTAGTGACGAAAGAAATAAAGAGTTTATTGCCAGAAAAATCAAAAATGGTATGTGAAAGAACATATTTTTAAGTTTCTATCATTCATTTAACAATTATTGTATTCAAATGTGATGTTCATGTTGATTATGGTAGGTAGGTAGGTAGGTATTCTACAATAGAAAAAAATTGTTAAAAAGTAAATTGAAAATAAAACAGATTGTTTAGAAATCGCGTAAGCCACTTGACTTTTTCGGCCTTGCCTTTTTTTAGCGTGGGTTGGAAATTTATTTTGAAGCAGCTCATTTGAAGTATATTATTATAGAAAAGTTCTGTTTTCGATTTTCTGTCAGAAAAACGACGTTTTTTAATAAATTCGAATAATAAAGAGTTATTTATTCGCAATTAATCTTATTTTATTTTGTTTTTAAAGGTGTTTTGTATTTCAAAGTGCTCGTGTAGGTACTTATCAAATGATAGGAGCTATAAGAAAAAATTACATTTTGTATTTGAAGACTAAAATAATTCATTATGAAAAAGCGGCTTTATACAGGGTGGGTCCACTATATATCGTCAGGTTTTTATACCAGCAAACAGTTTGTCGAATAATAAAAGAAGTTTGTTCGATAAAACATGGTCCAATATTGTTTCCATTTTGATGTACAGGGTTTTAAAGTTTTTTAATAAAAAAACGCTTTAACCGATTTTAATGAAATTTTCACAGTTTGTTGACAACTTTATGATGTGTCTTTCAGACATGTTACAGTTAATCCATCAATTCCAGAGGCGTGCTCACATGGCACTTAGATTAGTTTTCGGCACAAAAAAATATCGCTTAGTTGATTTTTCATTTTTTTTTTAAACAAACTGACTAAAAACACAATTTTTTGTCTCCAAAATTTTTTTCGTATCTTACTTTGTTTTCGAGGAAAAAATACAACTAACAATTTTTCACGTCTCTGAATACCTGAAACCTTCACATCAAAAAGAAAGCAAAATTGGATATTGGATCATAGTTTATATTGAACAAAGTAGCTTTATTTTTCAAAAAATTATCAGATGCTGAAATCTTGACGTTATGAACTGCTCCACCATAGTGTTTTAATATATCTATTTATACCGGGTGTTCAAATTAAACTGTTACAGTTAAATACCGCCGAAAATATGCATTTTAGAAAAAAAGTTTTAGATAAAAGTTTTATAGTTTTTTAGGGGAAACATTTTGGCTAAATTAATTTTTTTATAGCTCACCATAATATGGCCATATCGAGGTGAACTTTGTTTTTTTAAATTGGAACCTTTTTTTGCATATTCTTAAGTACATAAAAAAATTTTGAGGTAAATATTTTTTTTATTGGAATTTTACTTTTTGAGTAATAGCTACTTGAAAATTTTGCTAGGCGAAAAAATAGTTGGCCATATTATGGTTAGCTATAAAAAACGATTTTGCCAAAATTTTTTCCCCACAAAACTATAAAACTTTCGTCTGAAACGTTTTTTTATAAAAGGTGGTATTTAGCTATAAAACTTAAATTTGAACACCCGGTATATAGGTAAATTTAAAAAAAAAATATAGGTTCATTTAAAAAAAGCTATATAAATTTCCACTATTTTTGATAAATATCAATTTTTTTTTATAAATTAATAGAATATTTGTCAATATTTCATTTTCTATAACCAATATTAATTAGTAATTAAATTTTAAACATTATAGTCTAATATATCTAGTATCTACCTACCTTACTTTTAACCTTTTTACGTTAAACTTTCCATTCTAGTGAGGAAAGTAAATTAATGCATTTTCATATTAGCCATCGCCCATAAAATTTAACTTAATATTAATAAAAAAATATTAAAATATCCCTAAAAAATACCGTGAAATTTTTTAAATTGAACTTTAACATTTAGCGCGTTCATTATTCATATCTGTCAGATAGCACAGACATTAGGTTTCCGATCCGGGGTCGTAGAAAAGGTATTGTGTTTTACTTGTCGAACATCATCTTCCGTTACTAGATGTGACTAGTGCATTATACAGGGTATTTCCAAATTTGAAGCCAATACATAAAAGTACAAGCTTATTCCTCATAGAATTTGTAAACAAAAGAAGCGAAATGGGGGAAAAGAAAATAATAACTTTTTTATGAACTGACAAGCCATTTTTATAAAAATTATTTTTTTAAATCAGTGGCGTATCACACAATTTTTCCGAAATATATGCTGATGCTGCTCCGTTTCTATCTACTACGCCACTGCATTATTATTTATACATAGTTTCTCGGAAATTTATTATTTTTGACTAAAGAAGATAAATCCAAATTTGATATTTTTTTTTTACCATTTTGAAAGTTATTTAATATATTTTTTTTAAGTAAGCCGTATATTGAGACGCGGAAAGGAACAACAAAATAAAAAGTTATACCTAGAAAGAATAGGTATTTTGAGACACGCATTCATTATAAATCCCCTGTATGATACCGAAATTAATTAAATTTAATTTCCTTATAATCTGTCCTTCTGACATAAGCCACGATGAACATGTTAATATTTTTCTTACCTGATACATGATGTGCAAAAATTAAGAAACCACCGCTCTAACAAAACGAGAACTGATTTGTTTCAAGAAGAAATGGTGCTTTTATATCCCCTTCACATCGTCAAACTTATTTTATTCAGATGAAGAATGAACAGGCGATTGTCTAAAGACATTGAGCGAAAGTATTTATTTTCTTTCTCCACAACTACTATCTTTAACATCAACATCATGCAATAGATATCATTTTTGCTATCTGTCGAATCCCTAAATGTGACCCAGTTACGGTTCTTTGAACTAAATAAGATTTAAATTTCTATTTAAAGCAAAATTAAAAGTTCATGATGGGTGCAGTTGTTGCAGCGGTACATAATATAAAAGGAATCAATAACACCATACAAGTTTTTCGTAGGTATTATTTAACCTAAACATATTTTTAATTGAGACTTTTTTATTAAGGTTTTCTAGGTTCCTCTAAAATTTTTGTACAAAACGCTGCCACAAATTCCTGATGCTAAAATATGAGGATCTAACCCAATTTGCCTTACCCGAAAAGTAAATAGTTTGCAAAAGTTGTTTTTTAAAATTTTTGTAAAAATTTGTCTTGCTAAGAGAATAACTTAGACGTAATTTGATGCTTGAGAGCTATTTTAGGGTGATAAATCAAGATCTTATTAGTTTTGATGTACATTGCAGAGGGTGCTATCAGCTTTTTTGTGCCTCGTTTATTAAATTTATAGCTAAACATTATTATTACTCGGAATCTTTTGTCCATAAAAGGTATACCTAGCAGATGTAGTTTCTCGAATTTAAATGTATCATTGCGTACCCACTGAAACTATTGCAACGTCAGGATCCTTTAAAAATGTGTCAAATATTATATAAATGCTGTTTTCCATGGGGCAATGGGATCCCATTTTGTTTAAAATTATATAAACAATTCTTGAAAAAGGTTATTTTTAAACGGGACATTTTTTTTTTCATATTCTCTACTTTAAAACAAATAATGAAAAAGGTCCTATACATTTTTAGTTAATATTTTAGAAGATTTGAGTTTTTAAAGTTTAAAAAATTACGATTTTGACGAATTTTAACGACTTCTAATTCTATAAAAAAACATATAATATTAAACAATTTTTATATTTATATTGTAACGTTCATTTATTTAAACAGTTTTATTTATTTAATTTATATTTACTATTATTTATTTTATTTTATAACTTAATTTATTTGTACATTGATATAACACTAATTTATAAATCTCAAACACTTACCCAGTAAACACAGTTAATCGACACCGTAACAGTGCCGAAGGAGGCTTGCCGAATGCTAGATTCGGCTCGATATATGGGTATAGCTTCGGCATATAGGTAGGGCATGTCCGCCAAGCCGAATGTCGACAGCCCACTACATTGTGGTCGTGTTCATATATCTATATATAGTTCTGTCCGTAAGGATGCCTCCCATGTCCGGAAAGCCAGATATGGACCATATCCGGTTTCTACTTCCAAATTACGTCAAATGGTACGGTACTCCCGACTCAGAAGCAACCCCGACAACGGAAATATGAGTACTCGGCTTCCCGTACATGCCGGTGTCAGGCCGAGCGAATGTCGACTATTTGTGGTTTACTGGGTATATACTAATTTACTTTGACAATTTATCTTTACACAACAATATATAATTTATTATGGCCAGGTTAAGCTATTTTTGTGAAAATGTGGCGCTGCAGTCCTGTTTTCAAAAATTCTAGGCGCTGTAGATCAGATCAGACCAAGTATCGGCACTTCTTCGACCGACATATGCGCTTCAAGAGAGGTTTGGGAGGTGACTCGCTTCATCGAATATTCTCGATAACCGGAAAAGTTCAGGCCGTGAGGGGCCCAAATAAGGCAGAGAACGGCTCACGGGATTAAAGCAGGGCCGCTCGCACGACATTATGTACTTAACAAACTCCGCACTGACAACTGTCATGAATTAGGGGATCCATTAATCTTTCCGCTATTTATTTTGTACTATTTTGATAACTGGCCTAACTTTAAGGGTTAAATTGATGAATAAAATGTATGTTAAATAAATATACAATATTAAATATTTTTTAAAATTTAAAAAAAATGTTTTTATCGAGATTTAAACCATGGACGCCAAATCTAAAGTTGAACGCTTAACAATAAGAGCCATAAAGGCTTATGTCAAGTGAATTAACTAATCAAATATGTGCATTAACCAGAAAAACATATTAATATGTAGTTACTTGTAAATTACAGCAGTCTTTCCGAGATAATATAATAAAACGTCAGACAAATAAAAAAAATTGAGGGCGTCTGACATCTTTTTAGCAGTGGCCTAACCATCAGATGATTTTCATACCTCATCGGTAAACTTCAGAGAGGTGATATGTACATTTTCAGCCGGAGGTACGATTGTTTTTTAGCAGATATTTTTTACAACTTTGAGTTGTCTGATTTCTCGTTTGCAGGGGTTCTAAATTAAATCATGCAGATGACACTTCCTTATGGTCAAGGATTGTTCCCATCCTCCCCATCAAGCAGTATATGGTGTATTTAGCGGTATATAGTGTATTAAGCGGTATATAGTGTATTAAGCAGTCTATAGTGTATTGTTTTGTTTAGAAAGAAACTTTATGAGGTAAACTATTTTTTGTATAGTACTGTTTTCAGTTTCGTAAAGGCGTTGTTTTTGTTTGTTAATTTTTGTTTGTGTCTTCAGAGATTTGGCAAGCTTCTTCCACTCCAAGGTCCTGGGTATAACACATTGGTAGAATCCGATTGCAATAAGAAGAACGTCATAACCATTATTTCAAATACATAATAGGTTCCTTTGTTCGTTCCACTGGTGTAGGAATGAACTACACCAACGCAAACCCCTTTCGTTTGGCCCGGTGTAAAATCCACTACACCTTTCTGTCGGTGATGTGGTGTCCACTGGTGGATATTTTTTCCACCAGCTATTTAGAATATTTAGAAGTTAATTAGACTCGACATGTGAATCAGGAGTAAGTAGAAAGTAAACTAGGTAAATAAAGGTGGTGTAAATTAAACTGGTGGACACTGCACCAACAGCAAACGAAAGAACCTATTACCTATAACTAAGTTGTTATGTATAAAATAGTAGTTTGTTCTGGCCATAATGAGCAAGTCATTCTACCAGAGTTAGGATGTTTGGAAATAGTACTTTGTGCAAAAAGAGTGGATACGGACAATCCACTCGAGTTGTACAGTATATTTTTCTACGACACACTAACGAAAAAATTACAAATTTAAAAAATATTATAGGTTATTAAGACAAAATAACTAATTTTAAAATAATTTATGACTTTTACTAATTTATAAAATAAACATGAAAAAAACTGATTTAATTTAATTAGTCTTTAGTCCAGATTTGAACCCGGGTCTCTCGCATGGAAGACAAACGCGGTGTCCGCACCTCCACCGCCACTTTTAGGATTTTAGTTTTAATACTCGTAATTAAATTAGTTTCATACACTTGGATTAAAATTAGGATTTTTTTCAAAAAAGAGGACCATTAAAAATGCTATTATTTATCAATTCTACAAAAAATAACTTATTTTAATGTATATTTAATCTCAATAACTGAAAAATATACTAACATTTATTTAAAATTTTAAAAATAATAGTAGTTGGGTGTGAATTTCATTTTTTTTGCAGTGTTCTCACTACCTAGAATGGATATGAAATATATTCGTTCAGTTGAACACAATAGCATACTTTTTCGTTTTGTAGTCTGTGCGTAGATAAGCTAATATCCATGTGGGTGTAGAAATAGTACATTATATACCTAGGGTGAGAAGTGAGCTATTATTTACCGAGAATATTGTGCGAGGTAAATAATAGCTTTCTCAGCCGAGGTATATATAGAATTTTTTTTACTACTAACATTAATATATTAGCAATTTTAATTTTGACATAAGTAATTTCCTAACAATTTGTTAAATATTTCGAAATATCAAGCAGAGTGGAGCGTGTTTCTAATCAGACTGGCTTTATTTATGTAAAAATTTGGCATGTGTCAAATTTTGATATGATTCTAGGAAATATCCCATTGCATTTTTGATATTTTAGTGACATGGATTTATTGGTATTAATTAATAATTTTTGAAGCCTATTGCCGGTGTTGAATTTCCTAGTTAATATATATTTTTGTGCTTTTGGTTAAAATTACGTTAACAAGTGTTTCTGTTAATTTCGTTAAGAATATAGAATTTTTCTCATTGTTTACCTAGGTGTTTTTTTTTATTATTATTTACCTAGGGTGAGAAATATTACTTCTTGTTAGGGGAATGGAGTGAATAATAGCAATTTCTCAGGTTAGTAGTAAAAAAACATATTTCCTATGTTCCTATGATGTTAACACTCCCTAAATCTGCTAAATCCCCAGTAGGCGGCGATAGCCAAATAATTACTTTGTATAATAATGACGTAGCTGTGTGAGTCTCTTTGTTATCGGACCCATTAACATACATACCAACATTAAAAAAAAATAAGGATACCAGAACCTCGCATTTTGACACACCCTGTAAAGTAAATGAATGAAAAGGCAAAACAATTTAAGACTGTTAAAATTGTGTGACGCTGTGAAAATAATCAAATCTATTATGGATAACAACCTAGAGTTTTTGGTTTAAAAAAAATATAAGTTTGGTCACCCCTCATTTATGGACTACCTTGTATATTTAAGAATCATTTTAAAATATGGTAGTGCAGCATTTGTATTCCAAATTTCTTCGTATCGATCACTTATGTATTGATGAGACATAGTAAATAAATAATAGACTATTGCATAGGTACATTAATAAAGAATTTATTTCTGAAATAATAAACAGTGTTGCATTTGAAAAATTGAGTAAATTAAACCGAAAATGAGCCATATTTATGACAGGTTTTAAAATACTCCGTAAAAAATTAACCTTATACATCAGAAATTTTAACAATTTTGAAATCATTGCTAAGCTACCTAAATTATGAAAATTAATTTAATTCTACTCTAATTTC